ATTTATTTGGATGTTCTAAAAAAAAAAAAAAAAAAAAAAACCTAAAATGCATAAGATTTGAGAATTGGACTTTTGGAGGGATGCGGTTAAGTGGATCTTGAATTATACAAGTATATAAGATAAGAACAAAGAAACCTGATCTCTGTTACAACCGGTCTCTTTGTATTTTATTTTTTTTAAAAATAAAAAACCGATAATATCGTTAGCGGTTTTATTAATAAAATCGTTAATGACATTAGCAGTTCTAAGCTGAATCAAGCATCGATCCTACTTGAACGGTATCTTGAGAATTTATTTTTAAACCAATGTATAATGGAAATTAATTTTTGATTCAACTATATCGAGGGAAATCATTTGCTAATTATAAGACTCTCCTAACTACTTATCTAAAATTCATTTCATCAGGAAATTACTAAATTCGATTCTTCTAGGAGGAAAAATGGGGTTGTTGTCTACTATAGATACACCGTTGAAGTATCCAAACACCGTTGAAGTATCCAAATGCACGTTGTAGTGATGAATCTATTGTAGACTACTACCATAATTTTCCAGTCTATGATCCTTTTAGATGTTTCGTTTTTATATACCAGTGTGTATCTAGCAATTACGTAGTATTTCGGAAGGACTAATTTCAAATTTGCTCTTAACTTTGTATGATGCACGAGTGTTTATTTGGTTGTTATTCTTGTAATTGACTTAATTATTAGTGTAGGTTGAAAAACTGTAAAATCAGAAATAAAGATTGAATGTGGGCCGAATTTCTTAATGTATGTAAAACGCTATGACGTGTTAGAAACACTGTCATAGAAGCAAAATTCGCCCCCGACTACGGTGCAATCAGAAATGGCGTTGCCCCCCAAGATTTAACATAGCGATCTCTCTTAATGTGCACTCAAAAAGAGAGATTAGGAACTCACAAAATGACCAGAACAACTGTAGAGGAGAACCGAAAACAAAAGAGGAAGAAGATGAAAGAATTTCTGGGTTCTCTAAAAGCCACAAAAGTACCAATTTTTAAAGAAAAAGAAAACTGTAACTGCTGGAGATAATCAAGCCACGTAAATAATCGTGGAGGAAAATCAGCGAACATTTACAACGTTTAAAAGATCGAGTCAAACGTTGTTGTGGACTTCGTAACTGAACAATCTCATAAAAGCTGGAATGTCAGCTACGACTTAGCCCAAAAAAAGGTAGACACACCACACCGCGCACGTGCCACGAACACGAACCAACCGGACGACAGTAGCAGCGCGAAATCACACCCCCTTCTAGCCCACAAGATTAGGGAAAGCACTTCAAAGTATGAACACACATATTTAAACCAAGTAAAATATACTTCTCCCACCAATATGGGACAAAAACCCTTTTTCTCCCAATATATAAAACAAGTAAAACTTCCCTATCCCACCAATGTGGGATAAAGGATTTTCCTTCAAAACAACATAAAACCTTCCTTAGCATTTATTTCCAACAATTAGTACCAATATTGTCAAAATTTACTCATATAACATGCTATTATCTTTTTTAATTGAGTGTCTTATGATGAAAAAAGTCAATTTTTGAATTTTAGTTAAACATGAGTTATCGTATTTCCATAATTTTTTTTTTTTTTTTTGAATAATGGGCAATTGACTAATTGCATATGGGGTTAGCATTGCTCATTGCTTTAGCCATTCCAATTTTATTTTATTATAAATATGCTAGTATGAAGAGGGAATTAAACATGGGTATATATGCATTTAGTAAACTAAGAAGACATCTTTCCTTAAAAAAAAAAAAAATAAAATAAAAAAAAAAAAAAACCAAACTAAGAAGACAATAATAACACAGGACCGTCAAAAAAAGTGGGATTGCTAAACATCGCCCGCAAATCTCCACATAAAGCCCGCAAACTTATATTGAAGTTACAATATTGCCCTTGACCTTAAAAAAAACACAACCTCAATAAAAATCAAAGTACGGGGATGTCGAGGCTCGTGGCGGCAAGGTGGTGGTGGCGCCAGGTCCGGCAGCCACGTCCACCGGCCTGGCGTCTGGGCAGGACGCCCAGCCACGGTGAGTGGCGTTTGGGACAGGCGCCAATCACTGTGGCTGGGCGTCCTGCCCAGACGCCAGGCCGGTGGACGTGGCTGTCGGACCTGGCGCCACCACCAGCCATCGGCCGTCCTGGCCAGGCGCCCCACCACCTTGCCGTGGTTGTTTTTTATTTTATTTTTATTTTTTTGTTTTTTTGTATAATATTTTTTTTTGTTGGAAATTGAGATTTTTTTTTCTATTTTTGTGTAATATCATGTTTTTTTTTTTGTTTTTTTTTGTTGGTAACTGAGAAAATTTTTTATTTTGAATTTTAAGCAAGTCAAATGTGAAAAAAAAAAAAGTGGCCGGACCACCACCCTGGAACCGGCGCCTGGCCGGGACGCTGCCACCATGGTGGTGGCGCCTAGCCGGGACGCCAGTACCATGGTCATGGCGCCTGCCCTGGAAGCCTCAACCATGGTACAGGCGTCTTGGCTAGCGCCACCGCCATGGTGGCGGCGTCCCGGCCAGGCGCCGGTGCCACGGTGGTGGCGGCTCCTCCGGACGCCAGCCGTCTTTTCCGATGACATTCGTCCCCCGGATCTCCGGCCTCCCCTGGCGTCCCCGTACGACTCCACATTTTTCGGTGAGTGAAATTTTCGTTTTCAGAGAAAATTGACAAAGGGGCAAAACTGTCAAATCATATTAATTTTGTGGGCTTTATGTAGTAATTTGTGGGCGATGTTTAACAAATCCCCAAAAAAATTGGACAACCTTTTGAAGTGAATTGAAGTAGAAATTATTAGTTCATGTTGATAACTTAAGCTATCATCATCTTGTGAGTTACACTTTTACTTATTTTGTGAGGATAAAAGGCCAAAGTGATCAAAGAAAGACATACAAAATTCATGAGCCTTTAGGGCTTTTTCCTTATTCATATACGGAGTTATTCTCTATACCAACTTAAGTAGTTCCTTTTGGTAAAGAACCCTCTTTGGTGCATACAAAGAAAGGTTGGATTACAAAAGAGATAGATGAGGAAATTATAGATGTGGATCATCGATCTCCCTTACAATATCCTCCTACATCTCATATTCAAGTATGCAAGACAACATCGTCCCATGCCTACCATGCATACGTCTGATGAATTATTTCACTTCTCAAGTGAAGGTTGTCTTAATTTTTAGGTCCAAGTTATGAGTTTTGACCAACACTTCTCCAACTTGTCTAGACGCTATTTGCTGTTAGATTCTTATTGACAAGTGCTACTAGTGTGTCTTCTCCTACAAATACTAACTATTGTCATGTTATCACCCAAATTGCTGTCTAAAATAGTTCAGTTTAAAGGAGTTGACTTAACTTAATCATCCTACTTATGGTTGGTTTGTTGAAACTCTTAAAATTGACATGTTCTCTTTAGAGTGTATAGTATTTTCTTCGCCTTGTTGGACATAAATCTATCTGAAATTTAACTTATCTGAACTGAACTTGACTGAACTTATCTAGCCTTATTAAACTTATTAGACTTTATTGAATTTATTAGACCGATTGAACTTATTAGACATAATTAGAACTTATTGGACCTGATTATTATTAGACTTGATTAGAATTTATTGTAACGTATTAGAGCTTATTTAACTTATTTAACTTATGTAACTTATCTGAATTTAAATTGATCTGAATATTTGAACTAATTAGACCTTAAACTTAATTTTATTATAAGTTAAAAAGAATATGGCATGGTGCTAACATGTTTAGCTGCATGTCATTGATATACTTCCACGGTTGTAGTTCCACATGATTTTATCCTTACAAACATTGTTATAGTTGTGGACTTGTGTTGTGGCAAAATTTACCCCCCAAAAAAATCCCTTCAAAGAATCAATTAATCAATCAATCAAATTCTTAATCCCATAAATAGGATCGGCTACATGAATCAAAATGATTATTTCGTGTGGTTGTCTGCAAAAATCTTCCTCCTCCATCCCTTACGATCCAATACCTCACCCTCATGCAAGTCCATAAACTTCATATCCTTCCTAATTCCTTCCAACCAAGTCATTTTCGTTCTCCCTCTCCCTCGTTTAACCCCTCCATGGTCCCACCCTTCCACTCTTCGTACCGGTGCACCCTCTGGTCTCGTCTTACATGCCCAAACCAACGCAAACGATTCTCCCTTAGTTTGTCTGCAATGTCTGCCACACCTACTTTCTTGCGGATAACCTCATTTCTGATTCTATCTCTTAGAGTGTTCTCACACATCCACCTTAACATGCGCATTTTTGTAACCTCCATCTTTTTTAATGTGCTTCTTCTTAGAAGCCCAACAATTTGTAGCATAGAGCAACACTGGTCTAATGGCAGTCCTGTAGAATCAAAGGGGAAAAAAAATGTATTTCATATATATTGAAAAATCTTGAATTTGTTATATACACCCGGGTGCACCATACACCCAACTAATTCAAAGTTAGTTTTTAAAAGAAAAACAATCATCAAAATGAGAACAAAATACTCATAGGTGTATGATGCACCCGGATGTATATAACAATCTCTCGAAAAATCAAGTTATTCGATTTCGTTTAAACCGAAACTAATTTAACACGTTGAGTATTGAGTAATATGTACTCCATAATTCAAAAATGGAAAGCCAAAGTAGTTAATTTCTACCAATAAAAATGGCAACAGTATACAATAAAATGACAACATCCTTACACCATTATTTAATGCTCCCAATGACTTAAGCCACTAAAACTTCTAATTTTCCTTCTTTAAAATGCCAGGAACTAGGAATCATAGGAAGATACCTAGAATAAAATCGTAACATTTTCATAACATTGTTACAACATCATATTCTAAAGTTTTATTTATTTAAATAAAGTTGCCTAACTAATACTCCAAGTTTCCAACTGTTCCACCTGTTAATTCTTTTAAGTCATTCTGGCGACATCCTATATTCTATATCCTCCTTTTAATCTATTTTTAAGGGCTGCAAAATTGCACTAAAATTTCATTTCTTCTAAGACAATATAATTTCTGGGTTATAACATTGCAACAAGAAATGGGATCGTTATCTATCATTGATGCACCATTGAAGTATCCAAAAGCACGACGCGATGAGTCTCTTGTAGATTACTACCATGGTACTCCTGTTTCCGATCCTTATAGATGGTACGTAATACTTTTATTCAATACGTATATGTAGTCCTTAAAAGAAATACCAGTTTTCGTTTTGTCGCGTGACATATTATAAGTAGTAGTAAGTACTAGCCCTACTAGGTAACACCACATCAATCCTATTTTTTTAATAGTATACGAAAAAAATTTGGATATTAATGTTTATTTATATTTAAAAATTCGATACATCCGTTTACATTTCTTAAATATTCATTTGTTGGTTTATTTTATGTTTTGGTTGAATGGTATATGTTCGTTTAATTAATTGTTCGTTAGATTATGAAGTTGTAAAAGATGATGTCGTGGTCAACCAACTAGGGTGTGGACTTGTGGTTCCGTAGTTGGAAAAATAAGTTATCATTAAGGTGAGAATACTTTAGCAAACTCAATCAAGACTCAATCTCTAGTTGATTAGGGATTTTAGGGTCATATTCAACTAGTCTATATATTATTATGTACTTCTTAATTTCGTATAAGATATGGTATATAGGGCCCTTCTCCTTAATGTGTAAGATGGATGGATACATGGTGTAGTCGTGTAGATATAAATAAAACAATTTTGAAGGTCCAATTATCGACTTAAGATTTCGGTTGAGTTATCTCTACATAGTACAAGCGGATACAAACAACTTTTCTTAGCCTAATATCTAGGAGAATAATTGACTAATCATATAAAAATAAATAAATATATAAAAGAAGTTGTGAATACCTTTAAAATAGTGGGAAAATAACTTAATGTGGGTACTTATTTGATTTATTATTGTTGTAACTCTTTGACAACTTTGTTTTTCACATAGTTACACTTACACAGTGATTTATTTTATGGGGTGAAAAATCCTAAAGTACAAAATTAAGTGAATAAAGCAAATATTAGTGTTTTCCTAACATACTATCTAGCTTTTTATACGTTAACTATGACTAATGTGCTTGGTTTAACAACTATAATCAAGGTTGGAAGATCCGGATTCAGAAGAAACTAAAGAATTTGTGAAGAGTCAAGTGGAACTCACAGAATCTCTGCTTAAACCTTGTGTAATAAGGGAGAAGATTAAGGGAAGGTTGAAGGAGGTTTTCGAGTTTGAGAGGTTTCAAGTGCCTTTCAAACGCGGTGACAAATACTTTTTCTTCCACAACAAAGGTCTTCAGCCCCAAGATGTGCTCTATGTTCAGGTTTAAGGAATCATATTTTTTAACCCCATTTAAAATTAATAGTCACGTACACTATTATTAATGATATGCATTCGTCTTTTCATATGTACTAATTCTAAATTGATTGACAGGATAGTTTGGACGGTGAGCCAAGAGTGTTGCTTGATCCAAATGAGCTTAGTAAGGATGGAACCGCGTCTCTCCACATTTGTGCAGTAAGCGAGAATGCTCAGTACTTGGCATACGGCCTAAGCACTTGTGGAAGTGATTGGATTACCATAAAGGTTATGAGTGTCGCGGATCAGGCTTCCCTACCTGATACTATAAGATGGGTTAGTATTTATCTAGCTACATGTAACATGTTCGTGAATTACTGTATTAAATTTCAGACAAATCAAATTCAAGTTACATTACTGAATCACTGAATTTTCTTGCAAAAAATCTTATTACTATGTTTTTCATAATGTTATTCTTGGCAGGTCAAGTTCAGTGGTCTCGCTTGGACTCATGATAATAAAGGATTTTTCTACAGTCGATATCCTGCCCCTAAGTAAGCCATTTAGTTCATCATGAACAAGCATCAAATCTGATGATGTTAAACTTGAATTATCAATAATTTGCTCCATTAGTCATTATTATGTACTTCTTCTGCAGAGGAGAGTGCACAGGTTGTGGCACTGAAACGAATATAAATCTGAATCACGAACTATATTATCATGTTCTTGGTACGGATCAGTCTGAAGATATTCTATGCTGGAAAGACCTTGAGCATCCTAGATACAGATTTTACCCTCGTGTAACTGATGATGGAAAGGTAACAGCAGATTACTACATATTAATTGGGACTATAATCAAAACTTTGTGTGCCCGCCAAAATATTAGTAGAATGTCTGTAATATAGATATGTCAACCTCCTAGAATTGTTCTGTATGTAACTATTACATATGTTTCGGGATCTTTCCTCTGAGTTTATTTACTTGTGACAATCTTGGTTTGTAAGCTAATAATCTAATGTGTTTTGCAGTATCTTCTTCTGCAAATTGAGGAAAACTGTGAAGAAGTGAACAAACTCTACTATCTAAATCTTTCTTCCCTTCTACATGATGGCCTAAGAAGTGCCCAAGATGCCAATGGTTTGCTTCCTTTTACAAGACTCGTTGATGACTTAGATGCACTTTATCACTATGTTGCTAATGATGATACCAAGTTTACTTTCAAAACAAACAAGAATGCTCCGAGATGCAAGCTAGTATGTGTTGATCTAAATGAACCGGATGTTTGGATTGATGTCCTTCCAGAATCTGAAAAGGATGTACTTGTATCAACTGAGGTTGCTAATAAAACCCAACTTATTGTGTGTTATCTGAGAGATGTGAAGCATGTGCTAGAGATCAGAGACCTTCAGACAGGGGCTTTCCTGCATCATTTACCTATAGACATTGGCACAGTTAGAATTAGTGCTAGGCGGAATGATAGTACCGTGTTTATATCTTTTACTAGCTTCCTTACCTTCAACATAACATACCATTGTGACTTAGCAACAGAAGTTCCAGAAATGAAGATATTTCGAGAAATTTCTGTTCCCAATTTTGATCGCGCTGACTATAAGATTGATCAGGTAAGTAGATGTGACACCAACTTAATTATATACACTATTGTGAAATTTGTTTGTTTTTCTTTTAGTTATATCACTTTTATGCCTTGATGATAATGCCGTCAATCTGCTACTGAATTATCTGTCTGCAATTGTTTTTCAGATATTTGTACCCAGCAAGGATGGCACAAAGATACCAATGTTCGTAGTGGCTAGAAAGGATGTAGTTTTAGATAAATCGAATCCATGTTTACTATATGCCTATGGTGGATTTAACGTTAGTGTAACACCGGGTTTTAGTGTCATCCGTACCGTTCTTCTGAAACACTTAGGTGCCATCTTCTGCATTGCAAATGTTCGTGGTGGTGGGGAGTATGGTGAAGAGTGGCATAGAGAAGGCACCTTAGAAAGAAAACAAAACTGCTTCGATGACTTCATCTCTGCAGCAGAGTTTCTTGTCTCGAATGGTTATACACAACCTTCAAAGTTGTGCATCGAAGGTAGAAGCAATGGCGGTCTCTTAATTGGTGCTTGCATAAATCAGGTACTCAGTTTTATCTAATAGTCTATCTCTTTCCTATAATATGATACATGAAACTATGATTTATAAGACTAATAACCATTTTTCTTTATTATGAATGTGGCAGAGGCCAGATCTTTTTGGTTGTGCTTTGGCTCATGTCGGTGTCATGGACATGCTTCGATTTCACAAATTTACTATTGGTTAGTTGTCAATCCACCATTGTTAGTTAGGAAGTCAATACACTTGATCTCCTTAGATATGTTAATGCTGATCAGTTTTCCATGTTTACAGGTCATGCATGGACTGCGGATTTTGGTTGTTCAGAAAAAGAGGAAGAGTTTAATTCATTAATTAAGTGAGTTATCAATCATCATAATTCTAGTAGCTTAGTAATAACTAGCTAGAAATGAATTGATTAACCATCTTTATTTTAGTATTGTAATAACTTAGAAACTATTAATATAAGTAGGATGATAATTGTATATTTTTGACACTTCTGGTTGAAATGAATATGCCACAGATATTCACCACTTCATAATGTTAGAAGGCCATGGGAAAATTCTTCTGGCCGGTACATACAGTATCCAGCAACAATGCTACTGACTGCTGATCATGATGACCGTGTTGTCCCGTTGCACTCACTTAAGTTGTTAGCAGTAAGTATGCTTACTTATATTAGCTTGTAGGATACCTTCTGCTTCAATTAATACCTCTGCTTTAAAGAATTTCTCGATACTGGCAATTTTTTTGTTGTTTATGTTTGGTGATTTTCTTGTTAGCATGCACTTTCACATAGATCAGTATTTTAGAAATTTCGGCTTTTTCTAAACTGTGGTTATTGCTTTGAACTTTATATTCGTATTCGTTCTCTTGTTGATATTGCAGACTATGCAATATACACTATGTACAAGCTTGACAAGAAGTCCGCAGATTAATCCAATAGTAGGGCGGATCGAATGCAAGGCTGGTCATGGATGTGGACGTCCAATACATAAAGAGGTATGAAATCTCCTCTTAAAACCCATAAAACATTAACATTATCTGTATTCGTGTTTTATGGATGTGGACTAATTCATATGCATTGCAGATTGATGAAGCTGCTGATAGGTACAGTTTTATGGCTAAGATGGTGGATGCTTCATGGAATGACTATTAATATGGTCCTCAACATCATCATTAATGGATCGATTTTATTTATTTTTTTCTTTTCTTTTATGATGTATTATAATGATATTAATATATGCTATCTATATATTAAGGACATCATTTTGTCCTAAGCTACTTGGGATCTCAATATCTCATATATATGGAGGCGTGGATCAAATTTAAACATGATTCATAGAATTTTGTACACAATTAACATGCACAAGAATATGAATGAAGAGTTATTTCAATATGTGTTATACTTTTCATTCCACGTTCTTCATTGTGTAATTTCAATTACTTATACCTTTAATTATCAATATGTAAAATTATAAATTTAGACGAATATAACTTGTCCCACATGACTCAGAGTCAAAGTATAGGGTGCCAATAATACAAAATCGTTACAACTAAATAAAATAAGATGATTTACTCGGCATCTCCGTATGCGTTAGGAATTAGGGATGTCAATGGGGCAGGTTAAATAAGAAACCCGCTTCATCTTCGCCCAAGTGGAGCGGGGATGGAGGGTGGTTTAGCGGGTGATCTGATGGGGCAGGATTAGGGATAAAAATTGTACCCAACATGAGTGATGGATCGGATATAGATTTTAGACTATACTCGGCCCACCCATCCCCGCAATAATGTCTTATATAAATCCAATCTAAGTTCATTACTATAATTAAGGAAATTATGAATATTGTATAAATTTATGGCAATGGCATGTCTCATTGTTGTTAGGTACTTAAGTAGTATGTGATACTTTAATAATTTTTTTGTTTTAAAAATGTAGACATTAGCGAGTGTGGGGCAGGTATGGAGCGAGTGTAAGGCTATCCAAATGGGTGGTGGGGTAGAGATGGATTTTAGGTTGTACTCGATGGGATAGGGATGGATGTAGATACTGTATCTGCCATGGCGGTGGGACGGGGATGCGTATGTGGAGGTACTATCCCTTACCTTCAACCCACCCTGTTGACATCCCTATAAGGAAATTCCTTCGGTTGTAGCTTCGATCAAGATTGTGCTGAAAATTCCAAAAACATACTATGCTCTCTAAACCCTCACTTTCTCTCTATTTTTTGTGTGTGTTTTCTAATCTGAAAATGCTGAATGTTTTATAGCAAGAACAAACCTCATAAAGTCTCTTTTGGAAGCCATAAGACCCATGCCTAAAATGGACCCAAGAATAAGACATAATAAGTCCATCATAAAAACCCACAATACGTGTGTCCAAAAGTAATACAAGTATAAGGTTTGCAAATTGGGTTCGATACCACAATAGGATATAATATTGTACCCGTCATTAGTGGTGGGTCGAAAATGAGTATGAGATTTTTAGGCAAAGATGGGTGTGGAGGTACTATCCCCGCCTTCAACCCACCCAATTGTGATCCCTATTAGGAACTCTTATCCATGGACAAGATGACACGAACACACGTTGTCACCTTCAAAAAAGGGTCGTTAAATTGGTATCCATAGTACCTAAACTAATCACTTTCCAACGTCAAAAATGTTGGCTAAGAGGCCCATATTCGGATATTCCAAATTTCAATTGTGCGGAAAATTCCTCCTCTTCCCTCGCTCCTCCTCCACCTTTCCACTTCATCCATCTTCTTCCTCAGTTTCAGTACCCAATCACAAATTCAACTCTAACCATTTCACTTCTCTTCCTCGAAAACTCCATCCTACTCATTTTCTCTCTCCTATTACCTCTTCATCCTCCTCAACCTTCTCTTCAATGGCGTCCGCTTTCCAGAAACCCTTGCATTATCCACTCTCTCGCCGTGATGATTCCGTTGTCGAAGATTACTTCGGCGTCAAAATCGCCGATCCTTATCGATGGTTAGCATTTCGATTTTCTTCTGCAATTCTATTTTATCTCTAGTTCGTTTCGGTGTTGAATTTGGTTGAGTTTGCGGGGAATTTTAGGTTTTTGTATTGGATGATTATTGTTGATGACATTTTTAATTCAAGTAATATTTGGATGATAAAGTGTTTGATTTTGATTTGTTTTGGATGATTTAGGCTTGAAGATCCGGATTCTGAAGAGACGAAAGAGTTTGTTGAGAATCAAGTGAAGCTAACTGATTCTGTGCTTAAAGAATGTGAGACCAGAGATAAGCTTAAGGAGAAGATGACCGAGCTTTTCGATTATCCGCGGTTTTATCCGCCATTTAAGCGTTGTGATAAGTTTTTCTACTTCCATAACTCTGGTCTTCAACCGCAAAGTGTGCTTTATGTTCAGGTTTGTTGTGTTAGAGTTCAATATCTTTTTCCTCGAGGTTTGCATGTGATGATATATAATTATGTTATATAGTGTAAGATGTGGTGTTTATATTTACCGAATTGATGATCGAGTGTTGCAGTTGCTACTTCAGTTGTGTTGCTTTTTATCAAAATCGGATTAGTAAATTTGGTTATCCTCTCGAGATTTTAGGTGAACGATTTCTGTTTCGATTTTATAACAGAAGGATTTGGAACAACAGGCATATCAGTGAGATTACCATTGCAAAGATGATGGTGGACAATGTCGGTGGCGTGAAGAATTCTTATAAATAGGCTGAAATAGTTCAAGCTAGATTCAAATGATGAGGTGAGACGTGTGTGTATGGCGTAGTAATAAGATGAAATCAGTAAGGATAACATAATTAGAGATGAATTCACTCTAAGGAAGAAGTACAAGTGATTCTAGAATAATATTGGAAAGAACTTAAACGTGCTATATATTTGGGGAGAGGAGAGGGAGAAACCTGTGTTTTTATTACTTGAAAAAATTTCTGAGAGCCAAGGTCTTTTGATAGCGACACGAGTACATATTTGTTATGAATTCTCAGCTCGTCAGCTCGGTGTAAATAGAATAATGTTTGCTGAATTTGTACCAAGTTTTCTGAATGATATGCTTTTCTAGTTGGTGGACCAATATCGTGCGTTGTTAATTAAGGAAAGTATGCTATGATATGCTATTCTAGTCGGTTGAACAATTCCTTGCATAGTTTACAAGTACTAGAACTTATTGCTTGTAAAGTGCATGTTGTGTACAAAGAACTTCCTTACAACAATTTACTTATTTAAGCTACTTTAGGTAGCTACATAAAGCAAGCTGTTGATTTTTATTATGCCCTAAGCTGATTTGGTCTCTGCATTTTGGAAATGATTTTAACACAGATGTAATTGATAGTTTAGATTGAATTATTGCTTGCTTGTTAGTGCAGTGGTTCTGAACTGAGTCTCTCTTCTATCTAGCTAGCTAATGTTACATAATTTTTTTATCATTTCTACCAGGATAGTCTAGATGGAAAGCCAGAGGTGCTGCTTGATCCTAATCAGCTTAGTGATGATGGAACAGTGGCTTTGAACACTTATTCTGTGAGCGAGGATGCCAAATATTTTGCATATGGTTTGAGTGCAAGTGGAAGTGATTGGGTAACAATCAAAGTAATGAAAATTGAAGATAAAAGGGTTGAACCTGACACTCTATCCTGGGTCAGTATATATCAAATTTTTCTGATTTATTGATAAGAATGTCTTTCTCTACAAGCAATCGTTATGCTTACTTAGCTTGATTTTTATGTACTACAGGTTAAGTTTAGTGGTATTACTTGGACACATGACAATAAAGGATTCTTCTATAGTCGCTACCCACCGCCCAAGTAAGTTGTCATTTCTTTTGAAAGTTTGATATTGATTACATCTGACACCTACACAATTCCTGATTTTGTGTCTAAACTCTAGAGTATAACGTCTGATGATTATCAGTTTGAAACAAGATTTTTTTTTGGCCTGTTTGTTAAATTATGTTAATTTAATCGTAAAATTCTTTTTAAGAATTCCGTTGATCCTATTGTAAGAGAATTTCAAGGAGTTTAATCTTCCACACATGTAAATTTACTATACTAATTTGGATGTTCAAAAAAAGTTGCTGAATTTCCTTTACATTTAAATTTCTCAAAATGCCCCTTCCTAGTTTAAGTGATGGTCTATGTTACAGTAATGCTTTATTTCATCTCAAGTACCCATGTGTCCTCAAAAACTTCAGCATTGGTAAGGTTGTTTGAACAATTGGCACAATGGCACTTCATTTTGAACCTAAATATATGGGAATTTCCTTGCTGGGAAATTTCTTAAGGTGGCCCAATGGTTTTGCAAAACACTGAAATTAACCTTTTGATTTGTTGTAGAATATGGTTTTTTTTTTTTTTTTTATATATATATATATATATATATATATATATATATATATACCTAGTGACCTTAAAAGTCTTTATTGATGACATAATTGCAACTTTCAATAACTATATTTGCTTAAATTGTAAGTTCATAAAGAGTTTCAAAATCCTACATTGAAAATAACCCAAAGAGAAACATCCTATTTCTAGAACATTCCTAATCTCTTCTAATGGAGGGTTCTACATACTAGCTTGCGAGATGGTTCCCACCTCTAATAGAACCATCTATAGAAGGAGGATTTTACGTACTTCCATCCTAGCATGTACACGATTGTTCTAGACATACACAAGAACACTTTAGGGCTTCAAAAGCACTAACTGCCATGTTGTCCACAAACTTGTATTTCAGGACCTTGTCATGGAAATTCAGCATCACAATCGTATTCCTTGACCCAAAATGTGGTGGACCTCCAATCTTGAGTCCGTTTGGCTCACTTAATGTCTTATTATTATTTTACCATCAAATGGGGGTTCATTGGGAATAGAAAGCTAAACCAAAATAAAGCTTTTTAGGGGGAGTGCTGCTCCAGTGCTCCTAGCAGCTCATGGGACCCCCCTAGACCATGATACTGCCCTCATGACCAACAACTTATCTGATGCCCCATGTATTATGGGAGATGACCCGTGAGTCCGTGACATCTTGCTTCCTTACCACCTGCAATTATCATTATTAACCCTGTCACAATTGGCTGGTGCCTAAGCGTGCATATCTCTATCTCACTTTCCTTTAAACCCTTTCTTTGCACCCTTCTCCTAGCCTGTAACGGTGTAACCCCTTGAACCACCACTTCCTCTCTCCTCTACGTGACCCCTTCATGCCTCTCCATTCAGCTCACTGCTCACTTTGGTAAAAATTTTTGTATTAGAACTGCAAACTGACTGTCACACATGCGACACAGCCACACAGCATTACATTAATGTTATGAAATTTTCTTTGTTTGGTTAGGATATATTGGAATTCTATTCTATAGTAAAATTTAGAAACAACACTAACAGAACTGGAAAGGAAAAAAGAAAAATAGATCTTAGAAATTAAAGGGAAAATAATACTAGTATGATTCAGAGGAGATGATGTAAATGGGATAGGGTAAAGGAGAAATGATAAATGCTAAGTTCTGGGTATTTGGAGTTAGAGACTGAAAAATGAGGAGAAAGGGCTTGTCTAATTAGCTGTGAGGGATTGGTGATTGCTAGTTGCAAAAGGATCGTGATGGTGGTACAAGGGTCTAAAAAATAAGAGATTGAAAGGGGAGATTGCGAGAGTAAGAGAGTTGAGCGTGGTTGCTCTCCTAGTGGGAACGAGAGAATCAAAACAGGATATGGAGTCAAGAGAGTTCAAACGACCTTCTTAAGGAATCCCTGTCTCTGGTCCTACTCCAATTCGTGGGCAGTATATTAGATAAGGTTGACTAAAGTTTCTTATATAAGAAGCACACCCTATCTAACGGTGTAAGCATTCAGGTCATTTTAGTAAAAAATTTTAACCTTCAGGATAGTCCAGGCAGTCGCAAAACACAAGGTCAATTTGAACTTTTTGCTACACTCGATAAGGATGTGTAACAGTTGGACACTACCTATGTTTGACAAAACTACCTTGGTAACATAGCTTATGTGGGAATGATCCAATTATTACAGAGGATCTTCTAGTAATATTTTGGCATGTTCTTCATTAAGAGAGGTTGGACTATGCTATTGTTGTCTCCCTAAAGCTATCGAGATTGTTGCCACCTATAAAGGAACCATCTATACAAGGAGGTATTTTCATACTTCCATCCTAGCATGTAAAAGATTATTCTAGACATACACTAGAACACCTTAGGGCTTCCAAAGCACTAACTTCCATGTGGTCCACAAACTTGTTTTCAGGACCTTGTCTCGGAAATCCAACATCACCATCGTATTCCTTGACCCAATGTACGGTGGACCTCCAATTTTGAGTCCAATTGGAGCTCTTTTGGCCCACTAAATGGCCCATTATTATGTTATCATCAAATGGAGATTCATTGGAATTAGAAAGCTAAACCAAAATAAAGCTTTTTAGGGGGGAGTGTTGCTCCTAGCCTAGGCCATGATACTGCTGTCATGAACAATGACCCATTTGACACCCCATGTATTATCGGAGATGACCCATGACATCCTGCTTCCTTACCACCTGCTATTGCCATTGTTAACCCTGTCATAATTGGCTGCTGCCCTAGCGTGCATATCTATGATTCACTTTCCTTTGAAACCTTTTGCGTCTCTTCTCCTAGCTTGTAACCCCCTAGAACCACCTCTTCCTCTCTCCTCAACCTAACCCCTTCACACCTCTCCATTCAGCTCAATGCCCACTTTGGTAAATTTTTTTTGCTTAACTTCAAATTTTTTACTGTCACGCTATCATAGGCACATCCGCGCTGTATAACAATAAATACATTGTGTTAATGTAGTTCAAATTCCTTTGTTTGGTTAGGATACATTGGATTTCTATTCTACATCGAAATTTAAAAACAACACTAAAATAATGCAAAGGAAAAAAGAAAAAGAGAATTTGGAAATTAAAGGGAAAATAAAATAATACTAGTATTGTTTAGAGAAGATGATGAGATTGAGATAGGGTAAAGGAGAAATGCTAAATGCTAATTTTTGGGTATTTGGAGTTAGAGACTGAAAAATGAGGGGAATGAGTTTGTCTTAGGTGGGGGGGGGGGGGGGGATTGGTTATTGCTAGTTGCAAGGATGGTGATGGTGGTACAAGGGTTTAGAAAATAGAATAGTGAAAGGTGACATTGCAAGACTAAGAGTGTTGAGTGTGGCTGCTTTCAGTTGGAACGAGAGAGAATCAAAACCTTCTCCTAAGGAATCCCTGTCTATGGTCCTATTCTAATTTGTGGGCAGTCCGTTAGATAAGATTGACTAAAGTTTCTTATTTTTGAAACACACTATTTAACGGCGTAATCATTAGGGTCATTGTAGCAAAACTTTGTGACCTTGAGGATAGCCCAGGCAGTCGCAAGAATACAAGGTCAATTCAAACATTTAGCTACACTCATGGATTAGGATTAGGTCCCTAGAAAATTTCCCATCTTTAATATTCTTGTAACATAGGTTATGTGGGAATGATCCCATTATTACAGAGGATATTCTAGTAGTATTTTGGCATGCTCTTCATTAGGAGAGGTTGGACTATGCTACTGTTGTATTCCCAAAGTCTGAAGCTGTATATTATAATTTGTTTGTTCGTAAAGATTCTAAAGAATGAAGATGACCGTGATTTTCCGATGACCTTTTATGCTCATGTAGCTAGGAGCCTTGGAAATATCTGAAACTTGTATTTCTGGTGCAGTGAAGGAAAAACATCAGATGCTGGAACTGAAACAAATTCTAACCTTAACCAAGAGCTGTATTATCATGTTCTTGGCACTGATCAGTCTGAGGATATTTTGTGTTGGAGAGACCCTGAAAACCCAAAACACTCATTTGGGGCCGAGGTAACAGATGATGGAAAGGTAATTGCTGTTCTGTGCCAACTTAACACTACCTTTATAATTATTATTAGTGCTGCAGTTTGCTAAAAAGTTGAAAGGATAGGTATTTTCTCATTTATATACCATTATTGCATTTTTTTTTTTTTTTGAGATCTCCAGCTTTTGACCATGATCCTTTTTTGTCTGTATATTTCAGTATCTTCTTTTATATACTTCAGAGAGCTGTGAAGTGGTGAATAAAGTGTACTACTTAGATTTGACAACACTCCCTAATGGGATTGAAGGTTTTCGTGGGGGAAAAGAGTTGCTTCCTTTCACAAAGCTTATTGATACATTTGATGCGGCTTATGACGCTGTTGCTAACGATGATACTGCATTTATTTTTCGAACTAATAAGGATGCTCCAAGATATAAGTTAGTTCGTGTTGATTTGAAAGCCCCAGGAATATGGACTGATGTTATTCCGCAGTCTGAGAAGGATGTGCTTGAATCAGCCTATGCTGTCAATGGAAACCATCTTCTTGTCTGTTACTTGAATGACGTGAAACATGTTCTTGAGGTTAGAGACCTTGAAACAGGCTCTCTGTTGCATCACTTACCCCTTGATATTGGATCAGTTGATGATATCTCTGCAAGGAGAAAAGACAGTGTGGTGTTTTTTAGGTTTACAAGCTTCTTGTCTCCAGGCATAATTTACCAGTGTGACTTAAAATCAGATGTACCAGAATTGAAGATCTTTAGAGAAATTGTTGTCCCCAAATTTGATCGTGATGAGTTTCAGGTTGATCAGGTATATGCTTTTACTTCTATCTTCTTTGCATAAATATCTTCATTCATGTGATGTGAAGTAATGTTTGCTATTATCTGTATCTTCTTTTCCTGTGCTTGCTTTGGCTCATGAGTCATGACTTTGACATTTAGACTTAGTTTTGATGTGAACCTTTTAATTTTGGTGTTTATGTTCATGCTTTGTATGTTTTAATGACAATAGGTATGTATACCTTGATGCTAAATTCTCGATTTATGTCTGTCTAAATCCATTGAGATGTATGATCGAAGAGTTCCGGGAATCATAGCTCGAAACATATTATATCTTAACACTTTTGAAATGACTCTAGTCATTAGGTCTCTAATATGTGTAATGCAATTGCTAAATCTATTGCTGTTTGTTTTACTTTGTAAAACTTCCTCCATATCTTTTTGTTTGACACATTTCTTTAGTCACGTTTGCCAATGCACAAATTTAATCATTAATCTATAAAGATTGATAAGCAAAATTTATCAAAAGTTGATATTTTTAAACTACATATTGAGATGAATCTTACAAGACTCCACATGACTATATTTTCCATTATTATAAATGACAAGATACAATCAAAAGGGAGTTTGTGAATAGTGCTAAATTCAAAACGTATCAACTATGTGTAAATCACAAAATATTATTGATCGTTTGTACCAATATGTCCTTGTTCTGTAAACAGATTTTTTCAAATTGAACGTCAATTTTATTAGATATACAGAATGTCTAATCTCTGTACGTAGTTTGTTAAATATTTTTGAAGTATACTTAAAATCTTACCTGTTCAAATAATTGCTCCATTATGTCATTGTTTCTGTCTGTTTAGTGGTTTGTCTTGTTTTCTGTCAACTTAAATCCTCTCTTAACTCAAGCTTCTTGCTCCTGCCAGTCTTCCACCCTCCCTCTTTTTGGGCGTGAGTCATTTGTCTAGGCGCACATATTTCTATTTTACTCTTATCAGCTTCTTTCTCATCTGCTTTCAGGTTTTTGTTACCAGTAAAGATGGCACTAAGATACCAATGTTCATAGTTTCAAGAAAGGGAATTGTTTTGGATGGTTCACACCCATGCTTATTATATGGTTACGGTGGGTTTAACATAAGTATCACACCATCTTTTGGTGTCAGTCGCATTGTTCTCTTAAAAAATCTTGGTGCTATTTTTTGCATTGCTAATATCCGGGGTGGTGGTGAATATGGAGAAGAATGGCACAAGGCAGGATCCCTTGCAAAGAAGCAGAACTGCTTTGATGATTTTATTTCTGCTGCTGAGTTTCTTGTTTCTAATGGTTATACCCAGCCAAAAAAGTTGTGTATAGAAGGTGGAAGTAATGGTGGGCTTCTTGTCGGTGCATGTATTAATCAGGTATCTGCTAGCATCCCCCCACTCCACAACACACACCTTTTTTTTTTTTGGTATTATTATTAATAATATTTTCAACTTCTCCCATGCTGTTGTTAACCCATTGTATTCTACTATAATAATTGTGAATGTAGAGACCTGACATCTTTGGCTGTGCTCTGGCTCATGTTGGTGTCATGGACATGCTCCGATTTCACAAATTTACCATTGGTGAGTGAATATTGCTGTACTCCAAAATAAAAGTGGTTCTTTGTTACTATTGATACACTTTGCTGATACCTGAGCTATTTCCAGGTCATGCTTGGACATCAGATTATGGTTGCTCTGATAAGGAAGAGGAATTCCACTGGCTAATAAAGTAAGTAGTATCATGCGTTCAAGAGTGGGCGTTGAGCGAATAGATATAGTGCTGTGGTTTTGAAACTTTTCAAATATACACAATACAGAATTTAATTGAATAAAATTTTACATGAACTTTTAGGCTTTTCATGTGATACATTTACTGAAAAATATGTAAAGATCTGTCTGACATAGCAAGCATGCAAGGTGATTCTGAGTGTAATACTGTATTAGGCATTGCTTTTATTGGCAGAGTACTTAATCTGAAGTATATTAATTCATTAGGTGAGACTCAACGTGTTTTTTGGCATAGTACTTTGATTTCACTTTGATAGATCTGCCATTTGTTAGTCCATGCAGTCTGTTAATGACCATGAGGAGAAAACGATTTATAATAGAAGCAGATGAGTGAGATGACATTTAGACTTTGGTGGTTCAGCCCATACATGTCCTATTACAACTCAAATCCCATTCATTCATCTTTTGTTTCCTACACTGAGCAGAGCTCATTCTTGCTTACAGGTACTCGCCTCTACACAATGTTAGGAGACCATGGGAACAATCATCTGATAGAACTGCACAGTACCCCTCTACCATGTTATTGACAGCTGACCATGATGATCGTGTGGTGCCTTTGCACTCCCTGAAGTTACTGGCTGTAAGTTCTCTTGAACTATTACTTGCAACTACTGTTACATGAAAGTGAACATTAGTGCATTAACTCATTCACATTAGCACTCTGCAATGTCTGCATCCTTTTTCTTATGGCCAAGTAAATGCACAGCGCCTTTCCTATCCTTGAAAGATTTTATTGTATGTATATGTACTTGCAGACAATGCAGCATGTTCTTTGCACAAGCTTGGATGATAGCCCTCAGAAGAACCCAATTATTGGTAGAATTGAGTGCAAGGCTGGTCATGGAGCAGGACGCCCAACACAAAAAATGGTTGGTACCATATAGAATGTTTTCATGTCAAAATTATTGGGTATGACTTTGTCGGCTAACCTATAATTTGCTACCTTTTGTAGATTGATGAGGCAGCAGATCGTTATGGCTTTATGGCTAAGATGGTAAATGCATCGTGGATTGATTAAAGAATTGCTACATAAAAATGGAGTGATTCCGGGTTGAATCTTTTACTTTTTGATTCGTCTATCATGGATAGGAGGAAGACCTCTATTATTTTGCGATGACACATTTATCTCATTTTCTATAGTCATTCTTGGGGTCTTGGGTAGATCATTTTATTCAATGATTAGCGTCATTTTGACTTGAGTTGGAATGTAGTTGCTTGTAAGGTAGTGATTGAAGTTGAATAGCTTTGGAAGAAGTAAGTTTTTTTTTTGGTTTTTTTTTTTTTTAATTGCAAACTAAAGATCTGGACTTACTTTCTTTGAACTTATTGACATTTACGGAGGAATTTAGATTTAAATCGGGAGCGAGGTAAATCAAGAGCTGGTGGTAAATCAAAAGTTTGACATTTTTCTACCTTATTTTTTTTTCCTTTCTAATAGAGAAAGAGGGAGTGAGGAAGACAAATGCAATTAATTCAAAAAAATATGCTGTACCTCTTTTGCTTCCAAGATTACCATCAATCAATATTAAAGGTAAATAATAAAACGTAAAATTGATTGATAATATAATATGCAATCATGCATATGATTTAGATACGGTATTATCAATTATGCATATGTGATCAAAAAGAGGTCTCTTAAATCGATACATTTCATACGAACTGTGCCTTTGAATCAGACACGTTTATCAATTGCAGAATCTATTCTCCACTCCATATCGTCAATAACTAATTAAAAAAAGAGAGAAAAAACATTATAGCCACTAAACCCTGAGTCACCCTAAACCCCAAAATTTTTCTCTTGCCAACTAAAAATTATAAATCGGTCTGACTGGTCACCATTGGTTGTGGAAGTACTTAAGATGATGAGTTTGTTCAGAATATTGAAAACCGTATCTTCATTCAGTCAGGAAACAGTCCATCTTCACATCTGTTACATCAAGCTGGAGGATCTCTGCTCTACAACCCAGAATCGAGCCAAGGCTGGAGAAAAGAGAAAAACACATTGTAACACAAATCTGAGGCATTGAGGCAAAGGTCTAACTCAAGAGTAAGAAAACGAATATGACTGTTTCTGTCAGGTTATCCAGTTTGGAAGTAAATAATACTCCATTGTATTGGATGGGCACATGAAAAAAGGTTGATAAAGTAAGAGAGAGGAACTAAAATGGTGAAGGTGTAAGAAAAGGTGAATAAAGTTATAGGAGGAGAAAGGTGGATGAAGTAAATAATGGAGTAAAGAAGATGGCAAAAAGTGTTTTACCAAAATTGGCATAAGTGGGTTAAAAAAACGATATAAGGAAGAACAAAAACATGGAGGGAGTATCTAGATTTGGAAACTATAACCCATAGGCACCTCCTCGCATGGTGCTAGGAATTAGGATTTCCCCTAAACTCGGCTCTACCGAGCAAAAATTTTTTTAAACTGAACTGAAAAGGAATCCGACATTTGACATATTCATCCAAACGAAGACAAGGAAACTATACATAGAAAAATTAAGTTCAAAAATGAGAAGACAATTATAAGCATACCTTGGATAAGTGCGTCCAAGATCTCCATGGACAAATTCCTTGATGTATGTTCCTGCCTACAATGAAGATTTTGTATTACTATTATCCAAATAATGGTTAAAAAGGCTTTTGTTTGGGCAGCAATTTTTAGACATAGTCATATTTGTTTACACTTGCACCATAACCTAGCATGCTAAATCCATAAACAATCCAAAAGAAGAGGGCAAAACATGTGCTAAAGAGAGATTGAATTTTTTTTTTTTTTTTTTTTTTTTTTTTTTTTACCAAGGCACTTAAACCCTTACATCCCTGAAGACCCTGACAACAAAGTTTGAAGATGTGCAAAAGTGATCCACCATTCTTTGAAAACGAATTTGGAAAGGAAAGGATTTACTCTTTATGAATCCCAGATCAAATAATCAAATAATCGATAGTTCAAATAGGTCAATGATTAGCCACGGGAAGTACCTGTGTGCAGAGATGGAGGAGGAAAAACTGGGTACTTCCAGACATCTTCTCAATATTCATCCTGTTATTAAGAAGATTAATATGAAAAGAGGAGAAGATATTCAGGATGAGAAAAACACCAAGCATCCTAAATGAATAAATGGAAAGAAATCAAGTCTAGTCAGGAGTCTTAGAAATGAATTATCTTTTCACGTTCTAGAGGACTTCGACGATGAAGTACCCTCACCGGGGTTCTCTGTGATAATTTCTATTCAATAAGAAAATAGAGAAATTATGATTAGTTGCACAGTTACCACCAAGGACCAGCAACAATGTTCAGGCAAATTAAGAATGTACATAGCTGGAGACTAACTCCCAAAATAATGACCTACAGATAATAGGCATTTCCATCCACAATACCCATAGAAAGTAAGCCACTTATATATTACAGTACTAAAGGCAAGATGAAAATACATTATCTGCATCATAGATCAGTTATATGCATACACAAGTGTAGAACATTGTATGAGAGCATGAAAGTTTCCCCGATGCCCGACACAGCAAGTCCCAAATGAGGCGACCTCCTTATGCATGTGCGCCTTACCGCTACATGTCTTTGTGGTGTAGCTTAGTATCATTGTGTGTTGTTTCCTCTATTTATTAGCTTGTTGCGCTTATGGGGAAGGCTGGCCTGGATTGAGCCTTGGGGATTCAAGCACCACAAGGGCGATCTGCGCTCTTCCCGTGCTTGTCCTGTGATATCAAAGCCTTCTCAACATCGTTTAAATAGGGAGGTTCTATTCACCATCAAGGAGATCCACCATTTTCAACTATGGCACAGGGATAGTTGATCTATTTTCTCGTGTATGAATATGGGATGAGGAAGAAGGGAATTGAATTGGAAATATTCATTTCCATGCTCTAAAAAAACCAAAATCCTTTTACTATTAGATGGGAAGGAGAACATACGCCCACTCATTCCCTCCCATCACCTCCCCTCCTCTCCATTATTGCCAACCAAAGACACTGTAATTGACATTTTAATGAATTATAAGCTCACTTATACACAGAAATATGAGAGAGTAAAGGATAGCTCAAGTGGTTAAAGCTCCTCTCCCGGTTCTAGGAAATCCTGATATCGATTCTCATCACTTGCCCTTGTGGCTCTCCAAACACCAAAATAATGCACAGAGAATATGACGATAAAATTATGAGGATTTCCACAATCAATAGAATTCCCCCTTCCCCAAATGTTGGAGCCTATGTAAAGGAAATGCAGTCGTGTTTAAGTGATGTATGCGTAAGTAAATAAAATTGTGAAGCAATTGTAAACAATGTAATATATCGTAGAACAACCAACTTTGTCAAAATATAAATCTAAAGTGAAGTGATAATAAATTCATCAGAAACTCACCAAATCTTTAAGTAAAGATAAAGTCATCAAATCTTTATCCTCAAGCTGACGAGAAATCCACACTAGGGCTGTATATTGCTTCTGCATAAAAGAATAGTATCGAACATTTTTTATAGAGTCAAAGCAAAATAGGGAAATGACAAAGATTATAGAAAGTGACAAATAAAAACACAGAAAATTCGGGTATGTGGGAGGGAGCCCCAACTTTAGGGAAAAAATAGAGACAAAACTTGCCCAAGATATACATAATATGTTGCAATAAATAGGGACATCACAAAGAAAAATATATTGCAATTTACTCCCTAGTCCCTACGTCTCTACATGTTGTTCCTACTTTGACTTTTTTTGTAAGACAATCACCATCAAAGTGGGAACAACAAAAAGAGATGGAGGGAGTATAAGGGATGGAAGGAGTAACAAAAACTTTTATTCAAATAATATAATTGGTTTCACCGAGGATAACCTGCTTCTCTGCTTCACCTTCACGCATTAGGGTCCAAACTTGTTCATCAACAACTTTAAGGTTTTTCACCTTCACCTAAGTAATAAATGAGATCTACTCAAAAAGAACCGAAAGAAGTCTATACCAAAATGATATAAAAGAAATGACAGCATTACAAGATACTTGGTCCTCTCTTACCAATTTTCCTTCCAAACTATTAATTTTCATTTCCATCTCTTTTAGTGACAATTCTGATGGCAACATTCGGGGATTTTGAATTTCAAGTAAAAAAGGACGTCCAGAGCCCAACATTCGGACCTGAAATTTACAAGAGTAAATAAAAATAATAATTCATAAAATTACATCAAACACGAGAACTCACATGCTTAGTACATCTATGTCTTCTCTGCCAGCAGCATGAAACTTGTAATTATCACCCCTACACAACGGAAGAATGCTATTTCCCACAATCTCCTGTAAATTACAGCAAAAGGTTTCATAAATCAGTTGTCACGCTTCACGGGGGAAAATAGTTAACACTTCATATAGCCAAACAGTTATCCAGGTAGTACCTCAACAGATGCTTCTCCCATTCTTTCATCATCAATAATCCATCGTGACTGGCTCACATTTCTAGAGTACTGCAATACAATGTATAAAGCATGAATCCCACACCAATCTAAGGAAGTCAAGGTATCTAAGCTGCTTCTTCAACATAACTATGAGCTCAGAGATAGACTTTAAAAACCTATGATACATAATAAATTATAACCAATGATTGGATGCCATAGCTTTCACGATTATATATTGGACACCATAATTTTATGAGCACACGAGAGCTGAAGCAAAAAGTAGGCATGGCAGATTCCGCTTAAAAAAAGATTAGGATCTAGTAGTAAGAAAGGTGAGAAGCAATTAGATACATCAAGTACTGTAATTACTGCAAATACATTGAAGCAATATTGAAACTACATCAAATACCCATTACAAATACATTAAATACACGATTTAGGTACATCAAGATTGTGAATAGATATTTCAACCAAAACTGAACAATATATAATAGAAAACAGATGTCAAATAAAGCTTGCTGCACCGTACATAATCCAATTCCTAGACTCAACGAATAAATGACTAGTTTAATGTGTGAAAGACCATTTGACATAAAAATTAAAGAGTTTATGGGAAAAAATCAAAGCTAGGGATATGTTGTGCCAATTATCATTAATGCCAAGAAAAATGAGATTCATTAATGGCGGAGGGGTAAGAGCTGAGGGATCCACGACCAATTTACCGGCAGTAGAAGTGTGGTTGTCAAGTTCATTGCAGCTGTCGAGTTGATGGTGGTTGTGAGAACTTTAAGTTAATGTCGGAAAAAAAAAAATAACGAGGAGGTTAAGAGGATGGCCAAAGGAATAAATGAGGGAAATAAAAAAAACAAGGAGATGCTTTAAATCTTGACGATAAGATCTAAGGTATAAGTACAAGGTTGGGATCCAATGAGAAGGATTAATGTGCAAAAAAAAAGATCTAAGGTATATCTAATATATGTGCAAAATATATCCATATATATTTTATCTCTCTCTCTCTCTCTCTCTCTCTCTCTCTCTATCTATCTATCTATCTATCTATCTATATATATATATATCCCCCTCTCTCCCTCTCTCTCCGCCTGTCTCACTCTCTCCAAAAAAACATGCATAAAAGTAATATGAATCATAGAATGGATTAGAAATATTTGATGTGTGCTTTCAATGTTACCTTCAACCTCTTGCTTGGAAATTAGAGACTCAAACATCGCTACTCTATTGTTAGTCCACAAGCGCAGATTGCATTTCCACGAATGCTTATTCACAAGGATATACGTAATTACCTTGCTTTTAGGGAGGGGAGGGGGTGGATTTTGGGACAAAAATATTATGTTCAATTTGTTGTGGAATAATTTTACTAGAAATCTCACTCTTATCCCTAAATATATAATCTTATTATCTATTTTAGGAGTGGTGTGTTTGCTTCAATCCTTCAGTTCACGTGTGACCTCATAGGATTCAATTTATTGATAGTGGATCTAATCCTATAAGTCCACGGATTATAATTATTCTGGTCTCTAATAAGACGTTATGAGTTATGACCACCTAAATAACCATACTAATTATCTCCTGAACCTTGTTATATTTAATAATTGCACTAATGCTTGAGGATACCCACTTGTCTAAGAACAAGTGCGTAATCTTCAAATATATCAAGCATCATTAAAAAGATAACAAGTTTAACTCTTTCGGAGGTCATAATGTCTAGCTGGAGACTAATTATGGTATGTAGACTAATAAGATTAGGTCAATTGCTAATTAATCGGATCCTATGAGGTCACACAATAAGCGACAAATCGAAGAAAACACGCCATGAGTTTAGTAGATAAAAAATGGAGGAGCAACGTTTGAGGCTCTAATCTCCAAGTACAGGTCGAAGGTAGCATTAGAATCATGCATCAAATATCTTACTTCTAATCCATTCTATGGCTCATATAATTTATATGCACGTGATCTGTTTAGGTGTTAAGAATATGATTCTAGAAATTCCACTAAACGCACCTAAAACCCTACGGTTGCACATTTAGTTCAAAATAATATGCATATAAAATTTCATCATCCTTCTCATTTTATGGATCTTTTCATAATGAAGCAAGCAAAAAAGGGCCTTGGTGGATTGCATAAAAAATAATTCATTAAGACAATAGCATTGAAATTATCATATTCACACAAAAATTTCATTAGGCTAATGAGTGCCATCTGCTATGCCTAATTGGGTGATCTTGTAGCCCTAATATTAAATGTAGAAATATTTGGTAATGAGACTGACTAATCTCAAAATAATTAAATGATTAACACAGATTATCTAGCTGGTGAAGAATCCAAGTAATGCTGTTTTCCTTTGTTTTGGTTTAGGCTTTATTTTTTAAGCCAAATAAACAAGGCATTATGTATATGAAGAAACAAAACCAAAGAAACCAAAATAAAATATTTCAGATGCTAAATTTTTAACGATACCAAAGTAAGAGTTTTAAGAATATGCAAATTAGTATTATACCTTCAAGTATCTACCCCCAATATAGATAGGTGTACTGGAACAAAGAACCTCCAAGCTGCAAGCTGGTATCTAAGGTTAAAAAGAAAACAAGTTAATTTCCTAAATTCTGAAAATAAACTAGGCCATTAAAATAATTATCTATGATACACATACACCAGATCTAACAAGAAACAGGTACACCCAAGCACAAGTTTTCAATGTCTCATGCACCTTCTAGAACAGTCATAATTTCCCCTTCTATAAGAAATTGGGTATGAGTTTACCTATTTCTAGGTACCACCAGAGCCTGGCAACCCAGGTATATGAAAGAAATTGTAAGCATAACAGCTCATACAGTAAGACAATGTTAACCTTAAAGGTAATGCATGATGTCAACTCCAGTATTTAAGTCCTAGAAAAACATTGTTTTCAGTTGTGCGTCCAATAAAAGCTGGCAGCAATTTTGTATTAATGCTTTTCGTTCTGAATCTGCTACATTGATTGGATATTGGTCATATGACAAAAGGAAATGAAAGGATGAGCTCAAGTCATTAAGTGTGTTATGCCTCGAGTGAGACACGTGCTACAACAAGTAGGAAAAGTAACATAAAACAAGGTCATTCTGGAAGAGACTGATTACAAGCACTCTGACCATCTTCTTGATTGAATACTAAGCAACATACACGTATACCATCAAGTGTGAATACGAAAGGAAAAAAAAATCACCTTCTCCAATGGGGTCTGAAGGGTTTTGCTTCTAGCAAATTGTTTGCACATTGCTTCAAATTGAAATCATTCTCAGTAATTTCAGACCTTCCTGTTCCAACAAATAGACTACTTCAATATTGAAAGGCACAAGTGATCACTAGGTATTCCATGAAAACAATAGCAATGATATTAAAAATTTGGTTCACATGCAGCTAATGATGCCATCAGCAAGTTTTAATGTAATCTTCAGTGTTCGATCTTCAAAGGCCTACCAGTACTAATTTAGAACGATTCATCATCAGTACAGAACAACAACGCCTAGGAGACGACGACGACAACAACAACAACAACACACACATACACACACACACAAAAAAAAAAATTCCAAGCTTCATCCTCATCTTGACAGCTCGAAAGTTAGCCACATCAAGAGGCAACGACAAAATGCAAACAGATGTATAGAAGCAATGAGTAGAAAAGTATGAACTTGCCTATTTTCAGCTTCCTGCTGCCTTGGTTATTTTCTTTTCCATTATCAGTCTTCAGTGGCGTTTCAGAAGATGTATAAGTCAACCGAACACGGAAAGAGCTTGAACCAGATTTGACACCCTGTAAAACCTCACAACTTGATCATGGCAACCTTGGTAGAGAAATATATATTTCTTTTTATGTTATTTTATTAAACAAGCATGAACATCAAATCACAATTTTGGCTACAAAGATACGAATTTTAAAGACATAACTAAGTACACAATGCTTTGAATTATATATGTTCACCTAACAGAGCAGTCCTACTTACCAACAACGTTTCAAGAGGCTCTATTATAGATAGCTTCAGTGAATCCTTGACTGAAATGGCTTCAGACTGGAGCGTTTCTTGAAACCATTCCTCAGAACTGTACTTCTGTTTCATAGATAGCCTACACATCAATAAAAACAATTATATACACACAATCTGAAAGGTTTATGCATAAAATCATAATAACCAGTTTTATTAGAAACCATATAATGATAAAATATCAACTGGATAACTAAGCCACTTAGACTGATAACCTGACAGCATTTTCGTTCTCCACGATAATTGGTGGTATAGAGACTTCAAGAGAAAAGCTATCTGCTAGATGACCTTCCTTTTTCACCAGTTCATAGATCAATGCAGCAAAGTCATTGGCACAACCCCTGTTCACCAATGCTTGTTTCTCATCCACACAAACATACTGCAGAATCCCAAAACAAACACTGCAAATACCATCCTCATTGGCAGACTCTTTCAGCACAGGATCATCGTAGCTAGGCTGATGCGCAACGAATTCCGACAATATAGTACAGATTCGGGAATAGTGGGTGTAAATTGGTCCGTATTTCCCAAATAATCGAAGGATACACTGAGGACAGACCTAACATCACACCATTCACTTCATCAATGCAATACTCTTGTATAACGTATACTAATGTCCAAACAAATTTTATCATATTGAAATTAAATAGAAGTAGAATAATTCTAAAATAAAACAATGTGAAAACATTAATGCAATCACTTCATTAATGCAATACTCTTGTATGAAAAAAAATGTCCAAACAAATTTCATCAAATTGAAATTAAATAGACTACTTTTACAATGAAATAGTCAGAAAATGAAATCAATTGCACTATGAAGTATTTTCTAAAATCAATGTTTTTCTATAAACTCCTCAAAAATATAGTTTTTCACCTCAAAATATAATTGCAGTGATACAACTAAATCAATTCAAGGAATTAATATTTAAGAGAGAGAAATTTTCGTACTCGGAGGGTTAGGAGATAATTCACTGCTGCCTCCGGTAGAGACCGTAAAACATCGTCGAGCAGGCGGAGCTCCTCGTCAGCGTTGTTCGCCGCCATTGTTAGAGAAAATCAGTTGAATTGCTATGGCGACCTTATTTAAGTACTCGTCACTTAGGTTGCACAAGATCGGGTACTAACACGGATACTGGTATGAAATGGAAACGGAAACGGGAAAATGTCTATGTCTAAATAAGGGACACGGATACCGGAGGTTAAAATTCATATAATATATTTTTTTTTAAAAAAAATTGACCATATAGTTGTCATTCCTTCCTCTCGTTAGATCATATTATATCATATTAACAATGAACTGTATATGAAGGCACACATATTATTTAACAATTACCTTATTTATCTTACTTTACTCGGGTTGGGTTTAGCGAGGCGGGTCTATTTTTTAGTTGAGTTATGTTAAATTATTTTATGCGACCGATTTAATCTAAATCGATTTGAAAAACATTCTAATTAACCATCTCAACCAACTTTTATTAGTGTTTTAAATTTCACATTAATTACATTATATATTCTTTCAAATTAGAGGTTATTTAATTTATTTATTGTTCAAGAGATTAGAAAATAAATACATATGAGGTACAAAATACCGTAACATCTTAGGCAACGCTCGCATCACATACTAGGGACAGGTGTACAAGAACTCTTTTTTCGAAGTCGTGATTACTGAGGAAGACTTGGACAAAATCAGGAGACCGCATAATGACCCCATAGTTATGGAATGCAAAGTTACCAACCAAAGAGTTGGTCGAATCCTCATTGACACTAGGAGTTCATCTGACCTCATCAGTCACAAGTGCTCGGCCAAGCTCAGTTACAAGCCTGAGAGTATGCACCTAGTCTTCCATTTCTTGGTGGAATTTGGGGGAGGTGTTGTGCATCCGGTAGGACCTGTAGACCTACCCATTTAGCTGGGCAAAAAAGGGGAGGGACGCCACATGTACTGTGGATCCGGTTCATAGTTGTTGAAGAAGTAACGACCTATAACATGATTTTGGGGCGTCCACCCTCAATGAATCAAAAGTTGTTATCATTCCTTCTCTTATGCTTCTTAAGTTTGAGAAGGATGATGGAATAGTCGGCTTCCTTAGGGGAGATCAAAACATGGCAAGGGAGTGTTATCTCTCTAATGTCAAACCCACTATGGTCGCATCCGGCCCCAGTGGAGAAACTACTGACCTTGACCAAGTCAAGGAAGTCGTGCTTGATGCCACAGCAGCCAGCAAGGAAAGAAAGGCCAACCAAATGGTGGCCGAGAAAAGAGACAAACAATAGTAATCATTGACCGGTAAAAGGCCTAATGAACACCGTCCCCAACTGACTGGTGAGCATATGGACATCGTTCTAGATGACTCTCGTCCTGAACAAACTGTTAAGGTTGGGACGACTGCTTTTGCTAAACTAGGTGCAGACTTGCACCACTTGTTAAGAGAGTTCAAAGACATCTTTGCCTTTAAAGTTGACGAGATGACATGCATCAGCACGGATCTAGCCGTCAACAAACTTGTTGTGGATCTTAAAAAGAAGCCAGTAAGGCAAAAGAAGAGGAACCATGGTGAAGACAGAAGCCAGGCGGCAGCCGCCGAGGTGAAGAAATTGTTAGATGCTGGGTTCATTCGGCAGTGCTACTTCCCTGATTGGGTTGCCAATGTTGTTCTTGTAAAAATGCCAAATGCTACCTGGCGCATGTGTGTAGACTACACAGACTTGAAAAAGGCATTTCCAAAGGACAGTTATCCCCTCCCAAAGATTGATAGTCTAGCCGACTCTACAGCTGGCCATGCCTTGATGAGCTTCATGGACGGGAGCTCCACAATGAATGGCTGTGGTGCAGGCGTCATATGTCAGTTCCCTGAAAGGGACAGGTACGAATATGCACTACGATTTAAGTTCCAGGCCTCAAACAACGAGGTAGAATATGAAGCCCTACTAGCTGGCAACCGCATGTGTAAGGCGGCCGGGGCAAAGAAAGTAGACGCCTTTTCTGATTAACAATTGATCGTTAGCCAATATCATGGTGACTATGAAGCCACACATCCGGCTATGATCAAGTACTTAGAGGCAGTAAAGGAAGAAGCTGCAACACTTTAGGAATTCCACCTAATCTCCATGGCTACTTCTAGCCTACTCTGGAAGCAGACGCCATGGAGATGGTGAAAAATGTGACAAGTGCCAAAGGTTTGGCACTCATCCATCGTCCGACTACTGACTTGATAGCTATCCACAGCCTAGTACTATTCGCCAAATGGGGCATGTACATTCTAGGTCCATATACGCCTGCTACAGGTGGACGAAGATACATATTGGTAGCAGTCAACTACTTCACCAAGTGGGTAGAGGCAGATGCAGTCAAAGACATTAAAACAAAAGATGTTATCTCCTTCATCAAGAGAAATGTCATCACTCGATTTGGGGTGCCTATGTCTACGGTCTTTGTTAACGACCCTCAATTTGAGACGCTGGCTCTTAAGAATAGGTTGGAAGACCAAGGGATTTCCCATTGCTTTGCACTAGTCGGTTGACCTCAAGCAAACGGCCAGGTTGAAGCTTTTAACAAATTAATCTCTGATGGCATCAAGCAGAAAATAGAAAAAGCCGGAAGCCTATGGGCAGACGAACTGTCGTATGTTCTTTGGGCCATCAGGACGACTAAAAAAGGGGCGACTGGTGAAAACCCATTCCTCATGACTTATGGTGCTGAAGCTGTTTTGCCTATTGAGCATTATGAGCCGACTCTTCGAGTCATCCTTTATGACGAAGAGGCCAACTGGGAAGTCATGCGGCTAGCATTGGACTCACTCCTAGAACGCAGGGGCAATGCAGCCATGCGTCATGAAATCTACCATCTGAGAATGACAAGAGCTTATAATAAAAGAGTACACAAGCGGCCCCTGAAAGTGGGGGACTTTGTGTTACGAAAAATGGAAGCAATCGGTAAGGCCAACGAGCTGGGAAAGTTAACTCATAATTGGGATGACCCCTACCGAATCTATGAAGAAGTAAGAGGCGGCACCTACCGCCTGGAGACACTAGACGGCAGGAAGCTAAATTGAAAAAGTACTACTTCTAAGATATGTAAACTATTTGTACATAAGTTATCAATAAAACTTGCAATTTATTTCAATACTTTGTACATATCCTAACAATAGGGCAAGCCGCTTGTACTATTCACAGTCGACCACCTTTTAACTCTAACACGAATAAAAAGCTAAGTCTAGATAACTTAGCGCCTGTGTGTTCTTTTCGAACCTAATGAGGCCTATGGCCGGATGATCAATTTAAGGCCTTTGACCGGATGAACAATTTGAGGCCCGTGGCCGGATGATCAATTTGAGGCCCATGGATGGATGATCTTGTATATTAAACTAATACGTCTTTCCCAAAATTAGAGAAGGCGTCCGGTGACATCCATCTGGGTGAATTCGTCATAGAGAGCATCTCCCATTCGGGTGGCACATTGCTCTATAAACCTAAAACAAACGGCCCTACCGAGTGTCTCTACAGACAACCTCATAGTTGTTTGGCTTGAGACGAAGATAAATGTACCATTTCTCACAAACAAGCGGAAAACAGTTAAAATCTAAGTCAGAAACCACCTGGTATTACTTGGGATAAATACAGTCGGCACAATTTGAGTAAATAGCTAAGCAAAACTTGGCGAATAAAGGTTAATTCATAGTGACTCAACCAACCTAGTACAAAACCTAAACGGTGCGAGCAAGACCGACTTTATTTAGCAAACGGAGGCACTCGACCACTATTCTTACTAGTTTAGCTAAACAACAAAAGCTACCGCCTGTATTCCAACTGGAGTAACTACTTCGGTTGGACATCCCGTTTAACGCCTGCTTTTATGTAGGTACCATAGATGATGGACAGTTAACATCTAATAAAAATAAACTAAGTATAAACTTAATATGTTGTGATTTATATTAAGTTCTATGAGGCCAATGGCCGGATGATATAAAATTAAAACAATACGTCATCCCTTAACATGAGCAGGCGTCCAGCGACATTCATTCGGGTGAATTCGTCGCAGAAAGCATCTCCCATTTGGGTGGCACACTACTCTATAAACAAAAACAAACGGCCCTACCGGCTATCCATATAGACAAGCTCGTAGTCGTTTGCAATGATAAAATGAGAAAAGGATAACAAAGACTACCGACTTTTCTACAAAATAAGCGGTAATCTATAATATTTGAGTCGGATAACCGTCTGCTGTTGTTCACGAGCAACTCAGTCGGCTAAAAGTTTGAGGACTCAAGCTAAGTTAAAAAATTAGCAGCTGATGAGCATGCGAAGCAATCAAGCGGCCTACGCCGTCTGCTCCCTCTATATGCTTACATCTAAGAGGCATAGACTGATTAATCCAAGGGGATAATTCACAGTCACTCGACCTGAAAAACTCAAAAAGGAATATAAAAGGCAAGAGCGAAACCGCCTGTCTTAGTAGCACTAGACGGCACCCAACCACTGTGCCTACTACGGTTGTAAAACTAAGATAGTCGAAGCTACCGCCTATAAAATAATAGGCGGTTGCTATCTTAGTTGTTTGTACCATTTGGCGCCTGTCATTTGTCAAACCATCGTACAAACGACATATTTTGAATACACAAATTAAGCTAAGTATAAGAGTCTGGCACTCTGGCAGTTAAGAAATTTAGTGATGCTTTGGACACTACCCAGACAGTCATCTGGAATGGTCCCATGGGAGTCTTTGAATTTGACAAGTTCGCTGTTGGCACAGAGGTAAGACATTGGTTGCTTATGCCTTTAGTAATTTTGAGGTACTCTGCTGAATCATGCTTGATCTGTAGTTTCAATTAATTACATGTATCCGATAAATTATTTCACTAATAGATGTGCTTTTAAGATCTGTAAGTCATGATCCCAATCATTTTTTTGTTTTCATTTGCTGCAATTTGGCACTTAGTCATTTGTTTATCACCAGGGTAAAACCCATTTGAAACTTTGTCCTTATATGCTGATTGGTTCTTGCTTTGCTAACTCACCCACACAAACAACTCTTTTTGCTATATTGATAATTATTGAACATCATGATCTTAAATATTGTTCATTAACGTTCTGAAGTTTGCTTCTCGTTTGATTCTGCTTCTTGTTTGCAGGCTATTGCCAAGAAGCTAGAGGAGATTAGTAAGAAGGGTGCAACCACAATTATTGGTGGTGGTGACTCTGTTGCTGCAGTAGAGAAGGTAGGAGTCGCAGAGGCAATGAGCCACATATCAACTGGTGGTGGTGCTAGTTTGGAGCTGTTAGAAGGCAAAGAACTTCTTGGAGTGCTTGCTCTTGATGAAGCCGAGCCAGTTCCGTTTTAAGACAAGTTCATCACGGAATACAAATTCTATTTTTTCTCATCTTCCCTTTCCCAGGTTCAGCCTCTTAACATGAGTTTGTAACCGAGAAACAGATATAAAATGAGCCTCTTTGTAGATTACCATTATTTGCAATAAATGTGTTTGATGTTGATCATATGAAGATGTTGCGCAAATTTTGTGGAAATACGTATTCCATACAGAAGAATCATGATGTTGACGTGTTGTTTGGAGTGTATCTATAGTATTTATAACTCATACATGCGCACAAGTGTTGAAATATATGGCATTGAAATTTACAATAGTTTAATAGGGAAAATATTTGAGTAATTAGAATATACAGTACAAGCTTTGAAACAGACAAATCATGTGTGTGCAAATGTGTAATATAATTCTCCTCGTTCAAATAATAAAAAATATAAACAATAAATATTAGTGGGAGTATATTTTATAACAACGTATTTTCTATGTGATTATGTGGTCACCTGCAAATAAAATGAAGTAGCCTCTTTAACACTAATGTAGTAATTCATATTATACTAATAGAGTAACTCTTATTATACTTTCGCAGTAACCTTTATTATAATAATAGAGAAACCCTTACAACATTGAAAGATCAACACCTATATTACTAATAGAGTAACCCCTATAACACTAATAGAGTTACTCCATGGTGGCTCTAAAAGTTTGTGATACATGCTATCTCTATATGCATGCGATGCGTGAGTGATTGATATGTGAAAGCATATAAGTATTCATGTGCTTTAGAAATTAAAACATCTATTAACCTTAATGTAACACGTGTCCTTCCTCAACCTTAATATCATTTCAAAAATTAAAATAAATATTTTAAAATGAAAAAAAAAATCTATACATCATATAAAAAGTTAAGTATTTAAAAAATTAATATCATTTGCAAAAAATACATATATCTTGATTAAAATAAAAAAATTCAAACCAATCTTAATCTATTATGTGTCCTTCCTCAACCTATAAAACAGGTTACTGGTTTTATAAAGTTATTTATAAAAGATGTGTCAAAGGTCATTTTATTCCAAAATAAAAAAAAATGTCGATTTATTTTTAAAATACATGTAAAGGTCATATTAGTTTCATAACTTATAACTCCGTATTTTTTTTATAATTTTTTGGATATTTTGGATTTTAACACCTGATAAAAATTCGAAAATGGTTTTTAACACCAAAAAAAAAAAACTTTTATTTTAACACCTGACAAAAAATATAAAAATGGTTTTTACCACCATTTAACTGATTCCGTTTAGGATTCCGTTAAGTGGGTTCATGAGCCACGTGTCGCTTTATTATTGGCCGAAAAATTAAAAATAAATAAATAAATAAATAAATAAATAAAACCTAAAACTACCCAGCCACCTAGCCCCATCGCCGCCCCACCACTGCCACCTTCTTCTTCAGCTTGACCCACAACCGGTGACGTAACGACCGGCGCACCACCTCTCCCTCCCTCACCGGCCGACCTAAACCCATCCCCACCCTTTTCCCGCGGCCCTAAACCACCCTAGCCCGACCACTGTCATCACCAAGCCCGAATATTTTGGCGTTGATTCGGCCACGAATTCGGCCATTGATGGCCGAAATCGGCCGGTTAAGGCCACTTAGCCCCAAAACCGGTCGATTTCAGCCATTAATTGGAAAATTCGCCAGATTTTTTTGGGGAAGGAAGGCTGCTACCACCACCCCTGAAAATTCGTCGCTGTTTTCTAGGCACGATTTTCGGTGGGGGTTCTCGAATTTCGGCTGCGGGAAGCGGGGGTACGTCGAGTTCCGGTGTCAAGAAAGGTTCGGTGGCGAAACCCGGTGACGAGGGGCTTGGAGAGGGTGGTTCGAGGGTTGGCCGGGGAGAAGGGCCACCGTTGGTGGCTGCCTTCTGGTTGTTTGAGCTTTTTAAAAAAAAATCTATTTTTTTTTGTTTTTTATTTTTATTTTTTAAAAACAAGTAAAATGGTGACACGTGTCATTGTAGACCCCACTTAATGGAATTTTTGGACGGAAACCGTTAAGTGGTGGTAAAAACCATTTTCGTAACATTTGTCTAATGTTAAAATAAAACTTTGTTTTTGGAGGTGTTAAAACCCATTTTCGGGTTTTTGTCAGGTGTTAAAATCCAAAATATCCTAATTTTTTTAAACATATTCAACTATAAAAACATATATAAAGTACACCAATAACCCTTAAAAATTGTTAAACATAACAAAATTGCACATGTGAAATATTCTAGACTTTTAACTGTTTATTAAATGAGTTTTTTTTTTCTTTCTTAATAATTATTTTTACAATTGGTTAGGATATTCCTCTATCTGGATCACCCCCACATGTGAAATATTCTAGACTTTTAACTGTTTATTACATGAGTTTTTTTTTTTCTTTCTTAATAATCATTCTGAATTGCTAAATCGCTACCGGTATTTACCCGGTAACGCCCGTATTTTAACATGAAATTACAGTTATGCCCTCTTTTTAATTGTATCCTAATTTACTCTTACCCTAATTTACTTTTATACCTTATAAATTTACCCTATTTTATTTTTACCCCACTAGCCACCGCCACCAGACAACCACCAGCCACCATTATTCATCATCCCCCCAAAAAAAAACCTTTATTCAAAAACGATTTACACAAGCGGTGAATGGACGAGTTTGCAGAATTGTCGACGCCACCGGAGAGGTCGCATGTGAGTACGAAGATTTTTTGTCGTTTTTTTTTTATTTCGTAATTGCCAGAGAAATGTCTGATAATTTAGAATCTACCACGGCAGGAACGCCAAAAAATTTAGAATGTCCTCGGTAGATTCAAAAATATCAGGCGTTCCTTGCATTATATTTTCAAATGTTCATGGGAACGCCTGACAATTTAGAATCTACCATGGTACATTCTAAATATTTAGGCGAAACATGGTAGGAACACCTGAAATTTTAGAATGTCCCATGGTAGATTCTAAATTTCCAGGCGTTTCTTCCATGGTACATTCAAAAATATCAGGCGTTCCTAACAATGTATTTGCAAATGTTCATGGAAGAAATGCCTGAAAATTTAGAATCCTACCATGGACATTCTAAAATTTCAGGCAAACCATGGTTGGAACGCCTGAAATTTTAGAATGTCCTATGGTAGATTCTAAATTTTCAGACGTTTCTTCCATGGTACATTCAATCATTTCAGGTGTTTGTACTTATTATTATCGTATATATGTCGTTTATTATTAAATTATTATTATTATTATTATTATTATTATTATTATTATTATTATCATCATCATCATCATCATCATCATCATCATCATCATCATCATCATCATCATCATCACCATCACCATCACCATCACCATCACCATCACCATCACCATCATTATTATTATTATTATATGGGTTCTTAAGTAGTTTGTTTATGGTTTTTATATAGGATTCGGAATCAGAAAACGGTGGTGATGGTGTGAATTATAGTGGCCATTTTCAAACCGACACAGTGTTTCCTAGTTATGATGCTACTGTTCAATGGGCGAAAGAAATTTCCCGGCCAATTGGATTTATATTTGTCTCATCATCGTACAAAACAACCACCGATGGTCGGTCGTTTCGATATTTGGCTTGCGATCGTGGTCGGAAGAAAAGGCCAAGAGATTTGGAGAATGTGATTCGCAAGGACACTAAAACCAAGTCCGTTGGGTGTCCTTTCTTCATCAAGATTTATTACGAGAGAAGCACCGATGGTTGGAGGATCTGTGCTAAAAATGATGTAACCGGCACCCACAATCATCCATTCATTGTGTATCCTGAAGGTCATCGACAAATCAGCGGTCTTAGTCCAGGTGCGAAACAGGTTGTGCGTAACTTGATGAGGTCAAAGGTTGCCTCTCGTAACATCATGTCAACCATTATAGAGCAATTTCCTGAAGATCATCCGAACATCATGCATATATACAATAGTAGAAGTGACATCAGAATGGATGATTCCGAAGGAAGAGGAGTGGTTCAACAATTACTGCATTTGGCTAGAGAGAGTCACTACCTTTACTGGGTTATGGCTGATGACATCGGTGTTTTACAACATGCATTCATGGTGCATCCAATCACGTGCAACTTGTTACACACATACCCGTACGTGATTGGTATGGACTCTACGTACAAGACAAACATATACGACATGCCATTCTTTGAGATAGTTGGGGTTACATCGACCAATCAGAATTTCCTTGTTGGATATGTGTTCATGAGAAACGAGACACAAGCTAGTTATTGATGGGTGCTTCAGAGATTGAGGGATTTGATCGGATACCAACGGGAGCCATCAGTGTTCTTAACTGACCGTGAGCTTGGACTTTGTGCATCATTGAAAGCCGAGTTTCCTCACCTTACACATTTACTTTGTAGGTGGCACATTAATAAGGATGTCGAAGCTTATGTGACTGGATTGTTCAAGGACAAGACAGTGGGTGCAAAGTTCAAAAATGGTAGATGGAAACGAGTCATGGATGCAGCATCTGAGCCGGAATATGAGTTAGCCTTGCAGAGATTGAAAACAAGTTGGGTCGATATCCGAAAGTTGTGGATTACGTTGAGACTACTTGGCTTCCCCATAAAGAGAAATTTGTGACGTGTTGGACGAACAAAGTTATGCACTATGGTAACGTTTCTACATGTAGGGTTGAGAGTCAGCACTCGGCGGTCAAGAGTTGGATAGAATCATCGACTGGTTCTTTGGATACGGTATGGGCTCGAGTGCATTGCCAGATTGGAAATCAGATCGTTGGAATACGTAACGCTTTGGAGGCTAGTAGATCTAAAGTGGGTGAGAAGTACAGGCACATGCCGTTGCAGCGGCTTAATGGAAAAGTTTCTCATTATTGTCTGTCTGTTCTTTACGATGAGACGGAAAGACTGAGAGAGTTGAGTTGTGAGGTGCATGTGCGTTGCCGTTGTGCTCTATGGATCACCAACGGGATACCATGTGCTTGCCAGATTTATGATTCAATGCGTGATAAGAAGTGGTTGTATTGTAGCCAAATTCATCCATTTTGGCAGAGCCTTGTCATTGGTGATGATGTTGATATACCGGAGTTCGTCAATGAGTCGGCAGAAGAAGAAACACATTTTCGTTCCCTTGTCAATGAGGTTTTGGCTAGTGACCCTGTTACGATTTGGAATGTTTCTCGCATCATTGAAGATGAGCTGCATCCGAATCATTCAAATATTGAGGAGCCGGAAGTGAATCACTCAACACGAGGTCGACCACAGGATCGTTCTACTAAGCGTGATTGTAGCCATTTCGAGAATGTTGAGCGTAACACAAGCGGTCGTGGAGGGAGAAGGTCGAGACAACATAATTCAAGGCAAAACCGTCAAACTGAATCCGGTATGTTTTATTTTTTGTAATAATTTTTTTTATAACATACATATCTATTAATTGATTATTTATTTTCTACCAATTACGAATGTGTATTTTTAGGAGGAAATGGATTCAACATCGAATAATGTAGGTACGCTCACTTGCTCCTCGGACCTATATTGCCTTACATAAACGGATGGAATGATGTCATTGGTGATGGTAATTGCGGCTTTCGTTGTATTGCCTCCTGCTTCATGGGTGATCAAGAGCAATGGAGATTAGCTCGACAAATCATGGCTAATGAGATCACTGGTTATCCACCCTATACAGGAGGATTTATTATGAGCCAGGGTGGTTTGAATTTTGAGATACAACGTATTCGTTGGAGCGGTGGTACATGTGGGGAAAGACATTGGATGGTAGCCTTTCAGGATTTGTATGTAATTGCTACCTTGTACAATGCAACTGTGATTTGTTATGGAATTGGATTGACACCGACGAGCTACTATCCTTGCATCATTGTGTTACCGTTGCAGGCCCCCGACAATGCTACTGCACCAGCTCGAGAGTTTGTTATAGGTACTGTGGGTGGGTCGCATTTTATTCTTTTACAGCTTGATCAAGACCATCCGATTCCCCCGATTGCAGATGTTTGGTACCGGGCTCGTGAACCTAGCGTTATTGGATGGGAGCAACGATACCAGTGTAGAATTAGTTTGTGGGAAAGATTAGTTGCGTCATGATACATGTAATGTAATTCCTACAACTCGTGATTGGAAATTATTTTTGTCATTAACAAAACAATTTACATGGTAAGCTCAATGTAGTTAAAGCATAGGGGGATTTGTACACACACATCAAATTGAGATTGTCATATAAATATTTTGTATACCAAGATTAAAATTTACACGAATTCGTTACGTCATGATACATGTAATGTAATTCATAAAACTCGTGATTGGAAATTTTTTTTGTCATTAACAAAACAATTTGCATGGTAAGCTCAATGCAGTTAAAGCATAAGGGGATTTGTACTCACACATTAAATTTAGCTTGTCATACAAATATTTTGTATACCAAGATTAAAATCCAGGTATAACTGTATCAAGTACAGTTGTGATGATACATATGTGCTCTATCACAATACTTCAATAGACGATGATGATAAGTTAGATGGTTGTGGTGGTTGGATGTACAGATATTTGTACCTCCAGAAACAAAGTTATCATGCATGCTTAACATATCCCACAGAAATAGATACAGACAAGAGGAACTAACTTGAAGTCTCATTAATAGTTTCAGTTATTTGGAAATTTTCAGGTGAGAATTCTTCACTTTGATTTTTTTGCAACGTGCTAGGAACTTCAGAACACGTATACTCTATAAGCATACTTAGTTTATCAGCATCATCTTTATTTCCAGGCATCTCAAAGACGGATAGATCGTATAGATCGATCCTACTGTCTTCACTAGTGCAATTTATGTATTTGTCGCTAATAAACAATGACTCCACTAGAAACAGAACAACACCAGGACAACAACAACAACAAAACAACAAAACAGGGACAGCAACAGAAACAGAACAACAAAACAGGGACAGCTGGCAGGCTGGGCAGAAATAGAACAACCCCAACAGCAATCCAGCAACACAGCAGCAACAAAACAGGGACAGCAAGCAAAGCAACAAAAACCAGCAGCTCCAAGCTGGAGCAAACAGGCAGCAGCTGCAATAACAACAAACAACAGTTGCCAACAGCAACAACAATACAGCAGCAGCAACCAGAAATAACAGCAGCAACCTAACAGCAGGCCCCAACATGCCATCTACAGCACCAGCCAGCAACCTGAGGCACAACCCGAACCCAACAGGCCAGCTACTGCCTCAGCCAGCAACACAAAACACAGCAGGCAGCATAGCAGCTAGCAGGAAACCAGGCAGCTAGCACCAGCAACACTAGGCACCAACTAGCAGCAGGAACTGAACAGAAGGAACATAGCCACAATCAACAGCACAAACTAGCAGTATGACATGAGATATTTCCGAGCTCCTTATTTTATAAAAATGTGTGTCAAAGGTCGTTTTATTCCAAAATAATAAAATGTCGATTTATTTTTAAAATACATGTAAAGGTCATATTAGTTTCATAATTTATAACTCCGTATTTTTTTTTAATTTTTTTTAAACATATTCAACTATGAAAACATATACAAAGTACACCAATAACCCTTAAAAATTGTTAAACATAACAACAATCGCACATGTGAAATATTCTAGACTTTTAACTGTTTATTACATGAGTTTTTTTTTTCTTTCTTAATCATCATTTTTACAACTGGTTAGGATATTCCCCTATCTGGATCACCCCCACTTCCCCCCCCCCACCCCGTCTCAACACACACTTCCCTCACCTACATACTCAATTTGTTATTCAATGGAAAATATTTTATCCTTTTCCCTTCTCTTATTTTCCTTCACTTCTATAGTATCCAAAAATTTGCTATTTATAACGAACGCTATAGCAATGTTAATTCACAATCTATTTTCCTAATCCAAATTAAAGCTGCTGGACAAAAATGCAGCTTAGAGTTAAATGCAATTCTGTGGTCAATGTAAGTAACCAAAAAGATAATTACAGAGTTCAAGGTCTTTAAACAATACCAATACAATAGTTTACTAATTGAGCTAGAAGACTTGTGCCCTCTTTCGCTTTCGGTTTTTATCTGCTAGTTTTTTCTTCTTGCGTGCTTTCACTCTATCCTCAAAGCCATCATCCAACATCTTCATATTTGCAACCCTCCTTGCCTTGGTAACCTGCAGGACATAGAGGTTTTGCAAGAAAAAGGTTAAATCACTCCCGCCTCAAGTGAATATAGTGTATATAAAGAAGAAAGAAATCTAGCAAAGAAACAAACGTAAAATAAGAATTACATGATCTGCTTCCCAAAGAAAAAAAAAAGCAGATTCTATCTTATGAGATAAAAAGTCTACACGATGTTCATAGACAAGACCATTGTTCATGACTAGATCTACACTTATAACTATTGTTGTTTTTTGTGTTCAAGACATGTCCATGACTTGTGGCATGCTATCATCAGCCTAAATAAGCAATGGGGATCTCTAATTTTAGATCAATGAATGATCATGACCATTGCTAAGTAGTTCACATTGAACAGAAGAAAAGATATCAGAAAAGAGGCCTAAAAAATTGAGAAAGTGGTTCATTAATCTTGTTTACTTAAGGGACACATATCAGTTTTCCATGTTCTGCAAACTTCCACAGCCATTTTCCACAACAAAAAAAGGTCATCCCTTTCTCACTTTGAATTCCTTCAACTCATCCTCCGTCTCACCACCAATTTCAACCCAAAGCTCCATGTTCCATTAATTTTTGTTTACATAATGGACAAAATCAGTCACCATATTTCTACAAACTTCCAAGATTTCTACAAGGGTGGTCTCTTATCTCAATTTCTTTTACATGGAACCAAAATCACTGTCACCCCTCGTCAAATTTTATCATAATCGAAGCCCTACCTCGAGATGGTTTAAATCAACCTATGTGACTACGATTTTAGAGTGGAGTTAATCACCCAATGACAAAAATTGCAATTCTTTGTGGTTTCTTACCTTTTGACAAGTTAGAAGCCTACAACTTGTAACTTGTAAGGTATGTAGGAGGAATTCTGTTAATTTTGAGCTATACTAAAGGCTGATTGTGATGTTGTTGCATAGTAATGCTGTATTTTTTGAGAAGGTGAGAGGAGCGTTGATTGCAACATCGATGATGGGCTAGCGGTTGTTTGAGAGGCGGTGGATGTAGTGATAGAGGCAGATGCCAAAGGTAGCAAGGAAGAGTTGTTTGCCAAGGATGGAAGTACAAAATTATGATATTGTGATCTTTTTGGAGAGCGGTTGTGTAGTATAAGAGAGTTACAAAAGGAAGGAGGAAATTCTGAAATTACCACAGAGGATTGCTAAGAAATCCAAAAAGAAAAAATGGTAAGATAGTAGAAAGAATAGCCAATTAATAAGGGAAATAGGGGTTTGTATTACATTACCTTTTTATGAATTTTCCCAACCAAAAAACCAGTTAGATAAAGTATCGAAAGAAATTAGGAGTACATCACGAATATGTTCACTTCACCTGAACTTATGTACTTGGTCAAATCTTATTTAGTTCAGATCTGGATTTATTTGAATTTTTTTATCTAATCTGTTTTTTTTTTTAAATTATGAATTATTTTAGTCTGGTCTGATGTGATTTTATGTACTATTCTGACACACCTTTGACTGTATTTTTAAAAATTAATATAAGAAAAAACATAATGAAGGGAAAATTTGTCAGATTCATTCCATTGTGTAATTTCTATGTTATTTTCATTTTTCAAGTCTACCCCTAACCCGGAACCTGACTCCTGCTAACCTGCGACTATGTTAGATTCTGCTTAATGAATTTTTATAACTGTGCAATTAAAGATATATGGTAGTAAATAAACAATAACTAAAAGCATATTAGTCTGAGGTAAGTTGAAGTTAACAAATTCTAATAATCTAATTCAAGTTTTCCAAATTATTTAATCAACATAACAGTCAAACACTGAAAGTGTATTAGTGATCCAGGAAAGACAATTGCACCCAGCCTTACCCTAACTACTAATTTATTTCACCATAAGTGGATTTTGATAAACTATGCCATTATAAAAGGATGAAGCATAATCTGAAATCTATTGGATATTTATTGCTAAAGCATACCTCATTGTAGTTGTTGTGTCATGTGGCATACAACATTGTGATTAAAAACAAGTGACTGAATACTAATACCTTGCTAATTTGCTATAGTTTCATCAAACCAGTAATATGTATGATGAGCAGATAGTAAGGGTGATTGATGTGAATGTTTAGAATGTTGGAATAGCAGTTTCTTTATATATTTATTTTTATTAGAAAGTGTTTTTTCTCTTATTTTCAACTATTGTAAGTCAAGGTAAAACATATTCGCACTCTCACCTTGGTCATCTCGGCAACCACCTCTTTTTCTTTACATTCAAACTTTTCCATTTGCTTACCAAGTGTTGCTTCTATTCCATGTAAAAGATTCACATCATTCTGCAAAAAATAATAAGCAAAAAACATGAAGCCACCGGAAAAACAAATGTTTCATCATTGCGCAGACAGAAATGTTAATTCTCACCCCTGATACAATGCTCAGCACAAGTCCCTCTCTACCAGCTCTTGCAGTACGTCCTGCACGATGAACATATTCAACAGGATCCCTGCAGTCATCACATATTAGCATAAAGCATATACATGGTATTACTTCATTAGATAACAATTTCCAAATAGAGTGTGAGCATGTAACCTTGGTACGTCATAAAGTATGACTAGATCCACCATCAGAATATCTAGCCCGCGTTCAACAACTCCTGTAGCCAGCAATATAGGAACTTTCCCAGACTTAAAACGGTGAACAGAAGCTTGTCTTGAAGACTGAGGTATCATTGAGTTCAGCTCAGCAACCTTGAATTCAAGTTCTTCCAACATCAAAGCCAATCGGTGGCATGTCCTATTTGCAAGAGCAAGATGCCTAACTTTGAGCTTAACTAGTCTTTGAACCAAGCTAAGCTTTGAATAATATTTTTAAAAAACTTCTTTGATTTTTGGATCAATCAATATTTGAACAAAATTAATTTATTAAAAAAAGGATTTAGGGAGATAATCTAAATTTTTTTTAGGAAATTTTGAGTTTTACCACCAAAAAATTTCAACAAATTGTTTTTTACCACCTACTATTTTCAATCTTTTATTTTACCACCAAATAAAAAAATTAAAGTTGTTTTTTTACCACCTTTACCCAATTCCGGTGACTGAAAAGTGTTGTGGGGCCCACCCTTTTTAATTTCCCTCCAATTTTATTTACACCCACCCCGATTTATTTCTTCTGTTGATTAACCCCAACCAACTTCATTTAATTCCTCTAACTTTCTCACCTTCCTCTCATTTAGTACTCTGAATTTCACTCCTCTTCTCACTCTTCTGACCCTAAATTTTCCTCTTCCCATTTGAATTTTGATGTTGTTGTTGGAGTAACGAAGAGGTGGCACCACAGAAACCCTACAACTCAGCTTCAATTCATCACTTTCAACAAGGGGGGGCCTAAAGTGTTGGACTTTACTGACATAGATTCGAGATTCTGACAAAGCAAGGTACTTTTAGCATCTTTTAGCATCTTAACTGTAGTTAGTGTGTGTGATTGTGGTGTAATTGTTGATTTTATATGCTAAATATGGGGTGTTGTGGACTTTGTGTTGATTAACCCTAAAATTCGAATCTTAGACATGTGTGGATGCATTATGCTGTGATTACTGTATAATTAAAAATTAGGGTTATATATTGTTGGTATGTGGATTTACCATTGAGTCTATGGTCAAGCTTTGACCTGATTGATATATTAAGTGTTTAAAGACTTGTTTGCATTGAACACTGCGTAAAGTATCAGTTACATTAATTAATGAATTATTTGGGACTAAATTGAGTTATGTTATGTTTATGTGTTGTGTGTGTAGCAGAATGAACAAAGTCCAACTTAAACTGACATTGGGTGGTGCTTTTATACCTTCTTTAATTGGAAAAAAAAAAGAAAAAGAGGCTATTAAGCTGGGATGGGGGATGGGTATACTGGAAGAAAAATGTGAATCCCTCCAAGATTGATGTGCATTTTATAAGAGAAGTTGATGTCCATGGGTTTGTGTCTGTTAATGTACAAGTCCCTACTAAGTTTAGTTGCTGGTATAGACAAAAGGGGAGGACATTTACAACTGGTAAAAGGGAGTTGGTGAACAGTGAAGAGATAAAAGGATTGTTAGATACAGTGAACAGGGAGGGAGTTATTGAGGTGTTTGTCACAAGTGGGGAACCAATCCAAGCCACTCCCATTACACCTTTTCATATTTATGATGGGAATTCTATGAGTGCAAAAGAAAGAAATAAGTTGAGTAAAGATCCATTTGTGCCCAAATTAAAGCCCAACCCAGTTACTTCCAGCCCAACAATAAAGGCCCTTACTGAAGAACCACTTAGGAGAAGCCCTAGATTATCTATTAAAGGTAGGGATAAGGTTGATGCTGATGATGCAGCAGCTAAGAGGTTTAGTGCTACAGATAAGGGGAAGGGAAACCTAGTTGAAGAGGAGGTGGAAGGTAGTGAGAGGAATACAGTAAGTAGGGAGTTGTTTAAGGATGGTGAAGGGGACTATAATCTTTCAGATTTGTCTGATAGTGAGCTTAGTGACCCTGATGTAGATTGGAGTGAAGGAGAAGAAGAGTTTTATGATGTTGTTGATGATGATGAGTGGGTGAGACAGAATACATAGTTGGTGAACAGGGAAGTGATTAGGTGTTTCAGTGAAGAGAAACAAGATTTGCAACAAAAACAAGCTGGTGCAGGAACTGAGATTGAAAGGCATTTGAGGGAGATTGATATCAGTTTCCAGCAGGAGCAGGAAGAGGATTCTGATGAACTTAGGAGTGTTCACAGTGATTCTGATGTTGAGGAGTGCATAAGCCCATGGTTTAATGGGGAGACTGATTTTGGAAAGCCTATTCAGCTTGTGCAAGGGCTGAGGTTCAGCAATGTGTATGTACTCAGGAAAGCTTTGAGAGTTCATGCTATAGAAAATAGGTATGAGTACTATTTTCTTCATAATGACACCAAGAGGCTGACTATACATTGCAAGAGGAGGTGCAACTGTGTGTATAACAAGAAAACTTGTAGGCTGCCTAAGTGTGTGTGTAGGAAGAGTGTTAAATGTCCATTTAAGGTGTATGCTGCAAGATTGGTGAAGTCAGAAACTTGGCAAATCAAGTCACTGAGATTGAAGCATCTTTGTATGAGAACAAAGATGAATAAGAAAGTTACAGCTGAGTTCTTAGCTGATAGATACTTGGAGGAGTTTAGAAGCAATCCAACTTGGAAGATTAGACAAATACAGGAGAGACCTTTGACTGATTTGGGAATTAAAGTGAGCTACTTTAAAGCTTGGTTGGCTAGGTGTAGGGCAAAGCTAATTATTTTTGGGTCTTCAGCTGAGCAGTATGCCAAGGTATGGGACTATGCTAAGGCATTAGTGGTGCACAACCCTGGGACTGGTTGTGTGGTTGTTGTAGATGGGATAGAGTAGCCTGAACCCCCTCTTTTTTTTGAGAATGTTTGTGTATCTTGCACCATTAAGGGATGGTTTTGTTAGTGGATGCAGACCAATTATTGGAGTAGATGGCTGCCATCTTAAGGGTGCTTACCCTGGCCAAATTTTAGTTGCTGTAGCTAAGGATGGTAATAACCACATATTTCCACTAGCATGGGCAACTGTGGAAATTGAGAACAAGGACACATGGTCATGGTTCCTTGAGGCATTGGAGGTCAAGATGAAGGTGAAGGGTTGACTTTTATGTCTGACAGGCAGAAAGTAAGTTGATAAATTTCCAGGTTGACTTTTATGTTTTTTTAGTTTGAGATAGGTGTAGCATACTAATTATTGTGTAACTTTTTTGTGTAAATGCAGGGCCTGCTAGAAGCATTTGAGAATGTTGTACCTAAGGCTGAGACTAGGTACTGTGTTAGACACATCTGGTCTAACTTCAAACAACAATTCCAAGGATCTCTATTCAAAGAGCTATTTTGGAATGCAGCTAGGGCTTACACTCAGGTATAATAGTTAAATCCTCCTAGTTTTGTTGATTGTGAGTTTCTGGTTTTGGTTAGTTCCATTTGATTTTTACTGTGTGTGTCTTAATTTAGTATTATAATGCATATGGTCAGACTGATTTTGAAGTGGCTATGGAGTCTATAAACTTTTTATCTGAAGAAGCCTATGATTACCTAGCAAATATCCCCCCCCCAACATTGGTCCAGACATGCATTCTCCCCAACATGTAAGTCAAACATGTTGTTAAACAATTTGTGTGAGACTTTTAACGTTGTTATAAGGGATGCTAGGGATAAGCCAATCTTAACACAAATGGAATGGCTTAGAAGATACATGATGAAGAGGACCAATGATAAATGGATGGCAGCCTCTGAATGGGAAGGGTTGTGTGTTCCTTATGTGAAAAAGGTGTTTGATGGGTTGGAAAAGTATGCAAGGACATGCACTGTCCAGTCAGGTAGGGGTGAGCTTTATGAAGTGGAGTATAAGGATGATACATGTGTTGTTAACCTTGAAGCAAGGACATGTACTTGTTACAGATGGGATTTGACAGGATTGCCTTGTGTCCATGCTTTTGCTGCTTTGGTGGATAAAAGGGTTGATCCAGAGCTTTATGTCCACCCATACTACCACATAGAGACTTACCTGGCTGCCTATGAGACTCCCATTCAGTCCATGCCTGGAGCCAAGCATTGGGATAAGGTGCATATGAGAGAGCCTATGCCTCCAGCTTTTAAGGTCCAACCTGGGAGACCAAAAGCTAAAAAGAGGAAGCTTGAACAAGGGGAGGGGAGTTCTGCACCTAATTAAGAGAACAAGAAAGTGAAGAGAAGGAATTAATGCAAGAAATGTGGGGGTTTTGGCCATTATGCCAAAACTTGTTCTCTAAATCCTGCCCCTACACCAGTTCAAGTTCAGAACACAGCACCATCAGGAGGTAGGCCAGCATTGGACAACCCTTGGATGAAGGAATAGAGGAGGAAGAGTGAATTGAGAGCTATGAAAAAGGTAAATTCACTTACACTATTTTTGATACTTAGATTGTCATGTGTATTGTACCTATTTACTGATATGAATGTATGTATACAGAGTGCAGCATTAGGAGCTACTGCAGGACCCAATAGCATTGGAATCAAGAAGTTTCCTCAAGAATTGGCAAAAGAAAAAGCAGTTGAGGCATCTTCTGCTTGTAATGCATCTCAGCCAACTGAGCAAGTGCAGCCTTCTACAATGGAAGCATCAGCAAGCCAGCCCATGACTAGGAGCAGAACAAAGCTTACTGAAACTTCCCATACCTCAGCCTCTCAGCCTCTTCCCAGACAGCATAATACCAGGCATAAGTTATCAGTATCAAAGGGTTTACATCAACATCAGTTCATGCACAAGGATAATATGTGGGAACTTGGCCATGATATGTAATTTACTGCCTTAAATTTGGTTTACTGTAGACAGACAAGTGGTTTTTTTTATCAGTTTGCTTAAGTATTTGAACAACTAAGGGTGGCAAGTCCATCATTTTGTGCACTTAACTATTTGGAATGAACAATATTAACTAGGGCAGGAACCCTGATTTTGTAGTATGTTGAACCACTTCTAAAATATAATCGATCAGCACCTGTTTATAACATTTGCATATGTAATTGGATTCAATTATTTTCATTTCAGTGCATAACCAAATTTTCATTTCATTTCATAACCAATACAACAATAACACAACATCCTTGTAAAAATTTCACAATCAATTGTTCCATTCCTAAAACTAAACCAACAAAACAAATAACAACAAACAGATTCATAGATGATGTCTTCCTGCCTTCAACCTCCTGTGTCATCTTTTTCCTATCAGAGCTAAGGGCCTTGCATTTCAATTTCAAGCTATCAATCTCATTTAGCAAGCATCTTCTTTGTCCACAAAAATCATCAACTTCTCTCTTTAAGTCAGCATGCTCACCCTTCATCAACTTCTTATCCAATAGCAAGTTGTTAATTACTTCAGTTTTCCAACTTGTGCCATTTGGTTGATCAATCCACTCAAATGATTTACAGCCCCTTGATTCAGTCACTGGATCATAGAATTTGCAAGATCTAAACTTCCTCCCAGGATTTTCCCTAGTCCAAGAAGTTAACCTTGCAAAGGGTACTCCACATTGGCATTTCCTCTCTTTTGAAGGAGAAAAACTTAAGGAAGACATTCCTTCTGCAAAATGACACTTAGCAACTGCAATAGTAGTACATAATCACCTTAATTAGCTTTCCATACACCTAATTTCTATTAACAATCAGTAACTCATAAAACCCCCAATTTCAATTTTAATATGAACCCTAATTTAATAAAAACTGAATGTGGGTTTCAATTGCTAACTTGTTTTGACCAAATTCTGGATTAATAACCTCTACATGAACGAATGAACAAATTAATTGAATCAATCCTTTTATTTAATCAGCTAATTAAACTTGTGCATGACATACCTTAACTGCTTCAATTCCCACTGCTAAAGCAAATTGGTTTTCAAATCTTTAGATAACTAATGATTTATGGCTGATTGCTTGATGTTATTGCAGTACATTGAGAGAATTGGTATAAATCGAATTTTTGGAACAACAAATGATGAACTAGGGGTTTTATAGGATAGAAGATCGTGATTTAAAAGGGTAAAAATCAAAAAGTATCCGTTTTAGTGGGCCCTACAGCACTTTTCAGTCACCGGAATTGGGTAAAGGTGGTAAAAAAAAACTTTAATTTTTTTATTTGGTGGTAAAATAAAAGATTGAAAATAGTAGGTGGTAAAAAACAATTTGTTGAAATTTTTTGGTGGTAAAACTCAAAATTTCCTTTTTTTTAAGTGAAGAATTTTTTTTTTATAGAAAACCATATTTTTATTGAAAAGAATAAAAAGAATAATTAATGATGAAGATACCCACCATCAAATACAACAAATAGTAGGTGGTTTATAGACCAAACCTATGTGCCATAATCATCTACTTGCCTAAACATTACAAAATCAAATCGAAAAGATCTCAATTCCCATCATAAATATACACACATTCCCCTCTACGTGCACCAAACATTACTCATATGACAACAGTTTCATCATCCTCAAAAACAAATAACCTGACACTAACAAATCAGAAAGCATAAAATTAGACTACTCATATTGATTAGGAGATTTTCCTCAACCAATCAGAGTGCGCCACGTGGACCTATCAGGGCCTACCACGTGGCGTACTACTACTTGTCCACCATGGACCAACCACGTCATGATACGTGGCCTGTGAGCCTCCCATTAAGGAGCACGACCACCAAGGCCCGAACTCCAAAAAGCCCAGTCAACTCTAGGGTTTGTCAGAAACCCTAGAGTCAGGCACGCTTCCCAAGACTATAAATACCGTCATTAATCCTCATTAATGATGAATTGATTACACACAGATTATTGTAATCAGAAAACTTACACTCTTGCTAGACCTGTCCTAGCAGGCGTACCCCTCTTACTTTTCGTACTTTAACTCCACATACAAGAACTAACTTGATCGTCGGAGGCGGAGCTCCCACCACCCGGAGTCTCCATTATTTTGCAAGTACAGTGCGTGGATCCAGTCTCGAAGTTGTAACTCTCCCGCAGGACATCAAAAAACCCCAAAACGTTTTGGCGCCGTCTGTGGGGAGAGTACCTTTGAGATGGAACAATCTGTACCGAGTCAACCTGAGAGGCGCCTAGAGGATGACTATCTTGTGGACGACCCTCAAGTCTACACTGACATGGATACAGAACCAGAGGTCAAGACCCATACGGCCCCTGACGGGTCGTTAAGGGCGCGACGTACTCGTTTTACCGAAAGGAAGGAACGGCGGGATCAAGTTGGACCCAGCCATCCAGCCGTTCCTCCGACTGAAGCTCATCAGGCGGCCAACGGATTGGCCCCTATCACCAGATTCGACCTCATGACCATCATGAAAAGTTTCAAAGGGGAGATCCAGGACATTATCAACAAAAGGGCACCTATTCCACCAAAGGAACAGTCGGCCGGAAGACCTTCTCAATCTGGGAAGAAGAAATCTGTTAAAAATAGAGAGGCGACCCCCTATCCTCGACATGGGGACAAGCGGGCGCCCTTGATTGATCTGACTAAATACTGATTTCCCGTTGGGGAAGTAAGAAAGCCCATCCGCATGGTTCAGCCGGATGGGACCAAGAAGTCATTCTCTGATGCTCGGATGGTAATCTAGCATAAGAGAAATCAGCAACAGTCTGAGTCGGCCTCCACGTCCGGTTTCCCAGACAGCCTACCGAATACCTCACAAGGGTATTCTAAATCACACCATGAGGACCGAACAGGCGGCACAACCTCCTGTTCGGGTTCCCACAAAGATCAGTCGGTACCGTATGTGCCTCAACATCCATACGCCCCGCGCACCCAATTCTTTATACCGCCTCCTCCTTTTGGAGGACAGGCGGCACAGAATGTTCAACCTTTGGACTGGAAACTTAGGTTGCTTCAACTTGGAGAACAACCATCCGCATTCTCCAAGGAAATAATGGAAGCCGCCCAACCGGCTAAGGTTAAAAATGTGTTAGTAGGCGCCTATGATGGCACTGCTAACTCAGAAGACCATCTGATGGCATATACCAACTTAATGTACCCCCAAGGGTTGGATGATGCCACTTGGTGTAAGTGTTTCCCGGCCACTTTGAAAGGCCTAGCCTAGCAATTGTTCGGCAATCTGTCGGCCGGCTGCATCAACAATTTCAAGACGCTTACTTATCTGTTCGCTTCAAAAATTTCAATGAATATCCCTGCCAAGAAGACGACTCTTGACTTAGGAGCCGTCCAACAGGGAGAAAAGGAAGGATTACGCTCCTACACTAGGAGGTTTAACCTAATGAGAATTCAGATACCCAACCTACCGGATGAGGTAGTATACACTGATTTCTTTAAAATGTTGAAGGACGGGTCGAATTTAAAATTCAACTTGGTCAGAAAGAGGGTTACCACCCTCCAAGAGGCCATGATGGAGGCCGACGCCTACATACAAGCGGTTGATCTCTGTCATATGGGAAAACAGACGGACTACAAAAATTCCGAAAAGAAAGAAGGTCGACCTCAGCAGTCGGCTAATAAGGAAGAGAAGAAGAGAAAAGATGTATGGATGGCCGACTCCTCTGGTCAGTCGTCCAAGAAGAAAAGAAAGGAATTCACTCCATACTCCCCTAAGTATGAGTTCAACAAGGATAGCAATGCTATCCTGATGGAAATAAAAGATTGACTCTCCATTGAGAAGCCGACTGCAATGAAAGGTTCCGCCAACAATCGGAACCAAAGTAATTTCTGCCACTATCATGAGGATGTTGGTCATGAAACCAATGAATGTATCAGCCTCAAACGTCTACTAGACCGCCTGGCAGATAAAGGAGATCTTGACTCTTATGTCAAGAAATCTAAGGGGACTCAACCCCAAAAACAAAAACAGGCGGCCAGGAGAAGGCAAAGGTCAGACGACAGTTCTAACATTGACGAAGCGCCCATCTATACCATAGTAGGCGGCTTCGCAGGAGGAGGCCCTACTACCCAGGGAAACAAGGATAACATCAGGCGGCTTGATGTTAACATTGTAAAGCAGGGGCAGACCTCTCAGAGTAAATTTCCTGAGTTCATCATCACTGAGGAAGACTCGGAGGGTATCAGGGGGCCGCATGACGACCCCATTGTGATTGAATGCAAGGTGGCTAACCAGAGGGTTGGCCAGATCCTGATAGATACTGGAAGTTCATCAAATCTCATCAGTCATAGGTGCTTGACCAAGCTCAAGTACA